CAATCCCAAGGCAGCCATGACCTTCATTAGAAGTGAACTATCCCAGTCGACCGGAGACGCAGAGTAATCGATCCGGCACACCAGCCTCCTCCCGGTTTCACTCTTTCCACTTTTCCTGCTGATACCTCTCTGATCATCTATATAGGAATTAACGTGTTCGTTCTCTCTTTTTTTCTCTTCCATCCACGGGGTGAGTTAAGTGCCCACGTGAACACGGATGTCCCTGCAGTCTATAACTGCTGTTGAGATTTGAAAATGACTTTAAGTATTATTTTCTCTACATAGTTAGCCTAGTGCATATTTAAGCACTCACCCGATACCATATTGTATCTAAAGAAGAATGACTAATTGTGTTGAATAATCTTAAGGTGCCTACTGTTTCTGTATTATTACTTGATAGGATGCTACTGATGGACTTGGTTTTGTCAGAGTTGCTTTACTGACAGTTACGGACTGGTTAAGGTTTATAGTGCGCAGTGTTCAGGGTTTGCGCAGTTTATACATGGTTAAGTCTTACTTGCGAAAACAAGACATGGAACCTGCTCACTACCACAGTTATACATTTTCATGCAAAGTTACAATGTCTGTTCATGATAATAATAACTTGCGCCTAGCCACCTGGAATATCAATGGTTTAGGAAGCCCAGCTAAGAGGAATAAGGTTCTTTTCAGTTTGAAATCAACCAGATATGATGTTGTTTTTTTGCAAGAATGCCATATGTCTCTGAAGGATTCCAAAAAATTGCGTTAAGGATGGGTGGGATATGTTTTTTTATAGTCCTGGAACGAGCCAAAGCAGAGGTGTTATCACCTTAGTGATTAAACATTTGCAGTTTAAATGCCTAAAAGAGGTGAAGGATGGTGAAGGGAGGTGTCTCACCATTTTAGCTGAAGTCCAAGGGAAAAAAATAATATTGGCTAATTCATATGCCCCAAATGTTGATGACCCTATGTTTTTGGCTAACCTTGAATGTACATTGACTGATATGGGAAGTTATCCAATTATCTGGGCTGGGGACATGAATATTGTTATGGATACAATTCTAGACAGAAGTGTCCCTAGTAAGACTAGATCCCCAAAATCACTTCTCATGATTAGGAAACTGTGCTGTGCCCTGGGTCTTGTGGACGTGTGGCATTTGCTTAATCCTACTGGGAGGGATTATACTTTCTTTTCAGCAGTGCTTGGTGTATTCACAAGAATCGATTATTTTTTTATTTCCAAAGAAATACTTCCATCTGCAATGTCACGTGCAATTGGCAACATACTAATATCGGACCACGCAAGAGTGACTCTTGACCTGGTGCAAATTAATGATGTGACGAAATCCCCAAGATGGAGATTCAACTCCTCCCTCTTGCAAGATGATGCCTTTAAGGCAATGCTGAAAACACAAATAGAGTTATTCATTGAAACAAATATTGCCTCTGTCTCATCAGTAGGCACAGTCTGGGAGGCCTTGAAAGAGTTTATAAGGGGACATGTTATTCAGTTCTCATCACACAATAAAAAACAAAACACAAGGCGGCTTGCAGATTTGGAGAGGAAAGTGGGAGAGGCAGAAGACAAATTAAAGCAGAACTATTCCCCACACAACTTAAAGACAGTCACGCAGCTTAAATATGAATATAATCGGATAATATCACAGAAGGTCGAGTTTGGACTTTTTAGAGCAAGACAAAGGTTTTTCGAGTCTGGGGATAAGGCCGGGACTTTGAATGTAGATCATCGTGAGATGCTTGATGCTGCAATCACGGCCGAAGAATAAAGGAAGTCATTCGAATGATGCGGTCTGGTAAATCAAGTGCTTTTCGGATGAGCTCACTCCACTCTTGTTACAAATGTATAATGAAGCTTTTGAAAGAGGAGTGTTACCCCCCACTTTGTCTCAGGCACTAATATCTCTAATCTTAAAGAAAGGCAAAGATCCCCACAGATTGTAAAAGCTATCGCCCAATTTCTTTAATATCAATAGACACTAAAATACTTTCCAAAATCCTTGCAAATCGTCTCAGTAGTGTTATAAGTATGCTAATACATGCAGATCAGGTCAGGTTTATACGTAATAGATTTGCCTCAGATAACATTCGACGTCTGATTAATGTTATGTGGGTGGTTAGGAACAACAATACACCTACCGCAGCCATCTCACTCGATGCTGAAAAAGCATTTGACTGCGTAGAGTGGCAATACCTTTTTCAGGTGCTGGAGATTTATGGTTTTGGACAGACATTAGCTGTAGCTGTACAAACTACTGGCATCATTTCTTCACATTTCAAGCTAGGTCGTGGGACCCGACAAGGCTCACCTCTCTCCCCATTATTGTTTTCTTTAGCATTGGAACCTTTAGCCGCAGCAATTCGTAAAGACCCTAATATCCCGGGAGTCCCTATTGCGGGGACCACCCACAAACTTATTCTATATGCTGATGATATTTTAATATTTATTACGGACCCAGGCTAATCTATTCCCGCATTGCTCAAAATTATAAAATCTTTCTCTAGCTTCTCAGGTTATAGAGTGAATTGGACGAAGTCTGAGGCTTGACAACGTATTGCCCAAATACATTATTTCAAGCCGGATCATTCCAGTGGCCCCCCTAGGCAATTAGACAAAATAGTGCAATGTAATTTTGAACCACTCCTAGAAAAAATTAGCACAGATTTGGAAAGATGGTCTCCACTTTATCTCTCATTATGGGGAAAAGTTAATATTATAAAGATGAACTGTTCCGCCAGAGTCAATTATCTACTTCAGTCTCTCCCACTGAATATCCCTGTAAAATACTTCAAACAATTTGATGCACTTTGTAACAAGTTTTTTTGGAATGGTAAAAGACCAAGAATACATCTGTGTAAATTGCAAAAGCCGGTAGCGAAAGGTGGCCTGGGACTCCCAAATCTATTGTTTTATTATTATGCATTCAACCTGAGGCACTTGGTACACTGGGCATTACCTCCAGAAAGAGCGCCACCTTGGTACGCAATAGAGCAGTCAATGTGCACGTCCTTACCTCCATTGCTATTCTTATCAGCACGAATGCCTCCGAATGCTCGATCCTACCCTGTTGTCTCTCATTTTCAGGGACTATGGAAAAAAGTGTCTGGTATATTTAAAATCAGCCCCTTTCTAAGCTTATCCTCTGGTCTGTGGGACAACCCCAAACTCCTTATTAATAAATCACCACCTATATGGAGGGAGTGGGTGATTAAGGGGGTACATACTCTGGGTGATCTTTATAAAAATGGTGTCCTTAAGTCATTTGACAATTTGGTTGAACAATTCTAGCCAGCCAACAATCAATTCTGGAGATATCTTCAGCTAAGACACCGCATTATTGCTACTTTTGGCTCTACACACACACCACCTCAGGGCATGGACCTCATTAAAGAGATTTTGCGGATCGCAGAGAGTTTCCATTATTACTCTATGCTTATGAACCATACTGGTTACCCATCCAACACAGCTCTGAAAACCTTATGGGAGAGGGACCTGAACATAACAATTGAAGAAAACAATTGGGACACAATTATTGGAGTCACTAAACTAGTTTCCAGGGATATCAAAATAAGATTGATTCAATTCAAAATCCTTCATCGTTTCTATTGGTACCCAAGCAGGCTATTCATGCTAGGTATAAAGGAAACACCAGACTGCTGGAGGTGTGAAGGGGAGCTGGGTACCCTAACATATGCCATATGGTCATGTCCAAAGATTCAGACATTTTGGAAAAGGGTTCATGAGAATATCACAGAGGTCATAAGAGTGGATTTTGAGTTTTGCCCCAGTCTTTACATATTAGGCAACCCTAAGCCCATGGCCCATATTGTAAAACCCCTAGCCCATTGGATTCAGAAGTATAATGATTGACAAACATGATAATGAGAAAGTGGAAAGATGCAGAAGGCCTATTGTTTCAAGACTGGCTTACAGAGCTAGGCAAAGTAGCGGCTTTTGAAAGAATATCCTATAGTATAATAAACGACATTGATAAATATAATGAGAAATGGGGAATGTTCTTAAGATTGTATTCATTATATGGTAGCTAAAAGGTATGTGTGTACACTCTGATCATTGTGTTCTGTTCTTGGGGGGCTGTCACAGAAATGAGGGTGGAAGTGGTCTGGGTGCAATACAGGGATCTGTTTACTGGACTCACATTGGACAATGAATGGACACGCAGCAGTGTTTTGGTAGTCTCCTGGAAAGACTGTTTAACATGTCGTGCATGAACTAATTTTTCTTGTCATGGACTGTCTATTTTATTTTTATATTGTATGTATGTATGTGTGTATGTATGTATGTATGTGTGTGTGTGTGTGTGTGTGTGTGTGTGTGTGTGTGTGTGTGTATATATATATATATATACATTTTTTTTTATTTTAAATATAATTATATCCTTATTTTATTTTAATGCCCTCACTCTGATATTTCATTATCAACACATACAGTTATGTATTTTAATTTTGCCTTTGTTTGTTTGTTGTAAAAATTAAAACTCAATAGTTTGAGTCATAAAAAAGATTGTTTCCACTTCATCAATTTTCTTTTTGTCACTATCTGGCTGGTTAGACAGCCCACTCTGACAAATAAGTGAGCATGCTAACAGAGTGATAGAAATTGTGGAGACCAAGTGACTAAAGCTTGATGCGCATCATAGAATCATTTGTCAGAGACTGTTCCCTGCTTCATACCCAGTCATCACGCAGGGTATGGGGTTGCACCTTTAGACAATACTGTTTGCGTGCCTGGTTGCAAATCTTGTATATGCTGACTGAGGCGTGATATCAATAAATGGGTTTCCGGCACGAAAGGCCGGAATTTTAGGCCAATTCCAAAAGGCGTGCTACATCTACATTTCCAACATTCCTGGTTATCTTTTACATGTACACTACAGTTCCAGATGGAGTCTCTTAACAGTTTTTAAATTGAATTAGAAGCCTTTGCTTTTTGCCCATCTCTAACCTTTCCTGTTTATGTTCTCTGCCTCTGTGTTCAGGTTCGTACCCGGGCCCTGGTCACCCTGCAGTGCCACCTGTGGGGCTGGAAGGCAAACTCGGGAGGTGAAGTGCCGGGTTCTGCTCTCATTCACCAAGACGGAGGTGGACCTTCCAGAAGGGGAGTGTGGCGAGGACAAACCAAATCTTGAGAGGCCCTGCAACCAGGGGCCATGTTCTAAAGTTCCAGGCATCTCTTCAGGCCTTGAGGACCATGGGGCCCCTTACATCCAGACAGAGGAAGTGTACAGCTGGGACTACAGGGGCTTTACTGCCTGCTCAGCCACATGTGCTGCTGGTAAGGTTTCTGAGATGGATGTTGGCAGTTGAGTCTTTTGTCCATGCCTACTGTCCTTTCATGTCCAACTGTTTCTTGTCTCTGTCCAGGGAAGCAGAAAGCAGTTGTGAGGTGTGTTGACAGGAAGCAGGGTGAGGAGGTGGAAGACTCTCTGTGTGATTCATCCAGCAGGCCACCAGTAATGATCCGTATCTGTGACCCTGAGCCATGCCCTCCAAGGTGAGATACTGGTATCATATGTAACTAGATGACCTAATGTATTCATTGGTATCAACCATGTCATGCTAGGAAGGAAGGATGCTAAATAACACCCCAAAGTTAGACAACATTTTGCTTGGCATGGCCATTTTGAAAGGGATCCCTTTACCTCTGACCTCAAGATATTGAATGAAAATGGGTTCTATGGGTACCTATGGGTACAAGTATCACATTTGCATTTTGGGCTAAAAAATATAAATGTGTTATTTTTGCCTAGTGTATCAGAATATTTCTTCATACTGAGATCCCTAAACAGTGTTTGAATTGCATAAATTGGGAAAATATACTTTATGCCACCCCTGCATAAGTCAGCTCCCCACTTGTGCCACCCCAGTCAGTAGAAAAGAGCGATAAGAGCTTGAACACTACAGTAAGGGACTGTTCCACTTAGTCTGTGGTCTCTCTGTGCTTGGGCCCAGTTTAACTTTGAGCTCTGTATTATAGGTCAAACGTATGAATATTAATGTTTGGCATTGTGCAAAGTTTTCAAGTAAGCCAGACTAGTGACCACTGAGTAAGGGCCATTTAAATGGATCATAGGTAAAATGCCATCAAGTATAGGAAAAATTCACAATTAACATTGGTTTTGCACATACATTTCATATTGTGCATAAGTACATATAGCAGTAATCACTAGTGCAATCATCAGTGTTAGGCTGGTCAGTGCCGGAATTGGACCAAAATACTTTATTGTGTATGCATCAACTTTTTTTATTTTATAACCCTCGAAAAAAATAATGCGGCTGATACCTTGGTGAGCTTAGTGGTGGGCACATCCATGCTCACCAGATGTGGCAGTACTCAGCAAAAAGTAAGAGTACTCATGTGGACAAAAATCAGAAAATCCTGTAAAGTACCGCTGAGTACCGGCCCATTTCAGGCACTGTTGCACAGCAGTTGATAGTAGAGGGCAGTTTTTTTTGTTTCGTTTGGGCTTTTATTGCCTTAATTGATCATTGATAGTGACAGCTGAAGAGAGGAAAAGGTGGAAAGAGAGTGGGGGTGCCACGCAGCAAAGGGCCACAGGTTGGATTCAAACCCTGGGCCACTGCAGCAAGGACTCAGTCTTTGTACATGGGGCGCCAGCTCTACCAGGTGAGCTATCCGAGCTCCCCAAGGGTAGCTTTTTTAATTCAGTTTTAGTACAGGTTCAATATATACCCAGGTCACTGTTGATGTTTCAAAATTCAACACAGTTCACAGTTCAGTTGCAAACTGTGTTGAGTCTGGGTAGAAATCTGGTGATTTAGTGGTAATATTGGATGCTACACCACAGTCAGGGAGTGTATGTGAAAGATTCTAATTTGTTTGCACACATGGTGAGCAGGGAACCCAAACTCATGTTTCTTTGGCACAACTTAATGAGTTTTGAAAGGAGAAGGCAGGTAAAAAAGCCTCAGAACATCAAAACAGTAAAGACCCAGAAACCAGGAGATGAGGATTGGTGAACTAGTCCCTAAATCACCTTTACAGTCCTTACAAAAGAGCCAGTAATTTGTAACATACATGTCAAATTCCTCTGTACTTTTGCCTCTTAAAAGAAACCTTCATGCCTTCTACATGCACAAAGCAAAGATGAGAACTGTAAATCTTTTTTTAAACCATGTTAAGTATAACTTGGAAATGAAGTTCATTGATTGAGTTTAGAGGAAAACTAAACAGAGCTGCCTGCACCAGTTTGAATAAACACTGGGATTACCACTGAGAGTGCAGTCAGATGGTTTGGGACCACTGCAGAGAGCGGTTGCTTTGTAAACTGATTTATATGCCATATTTGGCCCTCCAAAACAGGTTCCTTGCTGAATAAACACAATAAGACACGCAGTCAGGTTGGGCCAAGTGAAATGATTTGGCTGTTAAAGAAACAGTATTAGTATGAAATCAGTATGATGCATTTTTAGCTTAAAAAATAATTTCCACATTGAAATGTCTATAAACACTAGAGCTATGTTCTATACGTAGTTGAGTTGTGTTCTTCCATTATCCCAAATGTTTCCAGCAATGTTCAAACTCAGAGAAATTCTATTCAGGTAAGGCTGTATTTCACTGGTCGCCTGTCAGTGGAGTCATCTCCCCTTTGTGCCTGTGTCAGTGTTGTGGTTGTCTGCCAGAAGCTGTCATATATTGACTGTTTATCCAGTCTGAAGCCACATTTTTACCATCCACTGTTTAGATCTTGATGCTTTTTAAACGGCTTAATTTTAGTCAAAAAAACAATAAACACTGAAGGAATCCTAACCGGAAGAAGCTGACTGCAATGACAGCAAAGGTGGTTTGTTATGTTTTGATGCGAGAAAGAGCAGCAGAAATCACATATTATCGTTTAATAACAATCAATATCATACATAGCTAAATATGGATGTTCAGTACCAGATGGTGCAGCTAAGAAAACACTTTCACTTTCATTATTATTTTCAGCATAGAGCACAAAAGTCTGTCATGTTAAAGAAAAAATCAACTTTTTGTGCACATTTTGAGAAACCAGATTTTTCACGATGTTGACATGTTGACTTGCAAAAACTGAAGTTTGAATTATTAATTTAACTTGATATATCATCCACACTACAATCACCTAAAAAAAATCTATACGTTTTCAGCCAAACATGTTTTCTGTGAACAGGGGAGTGAGTAAGGTGCTCAGTAGGTCTGATGTAATTGCTCAACAACACCAGTGATTCAGTAATTACTTGGCAAGATGACAAGAAGCCTAGCTCTTAAACCTTTCAGCTCTGAAATGGAATAAAAACTCCTCAACCACTAGTACACTCCCAGTGTACTAAGAGTTTGAGTGTAGGTGGATTTACCCACTTTTGTTCCTTTAATGAAACAAGTGCAGTCAGACCTGAAGCCAGCAGGCAGGTCAGTTAACTTATTTGATGTCCCTCTGGCTGTATACAGGAGACACAGGCTGGATTCTCCTCCCGGTGTGGGAAAAAGATTACCACGCAGCTAATAATACACAGCTCCTACATTAAGCAGCACACACAAGTGAATGGCTTAATGTAGCATAACTTGCATTTTTCACTTGCACAATTTTCAAACCGTGGTCCCATTTTCCCATGTTTCCTCTGACTGACTGGCTAGGATGTCATCATTTGCTTTACTGCAGATTCTGTCTTGCCTCAGAGCTGCAAAACAGTTCTAACAAGCCATTAGATCTTCCAGAAATCAGTCTCCAACGCAGACAACGCCTCTTGTCCCCTTTTCAGCACACTCATTGCTCAGTTTGATCTGAGACATAAAACTGAAAAGAAAGTGAAGGGCACTGAAAAGACATGAAAACCGAAAATAAGACCTTTCTCATTCAGTATAAATGCTCTCAGCTGTTGCTGTACCGCCTCGAAACCTTATTTGCCATGTCCATCTTTCTAATTGCCAATGAAAGTATCATTCAGTGTTGTCAGTGTTGACCTGGTAATAGTCTGTGCCTGCCACAGAGCTGCTCCTACTGAAATGTAGATAGCTCGCTTACTTGCTAGTATCTAGCTAGCTAGTGCTATCTCACAAAAATGGACATCTTTTTTTTGTTACTGAATCTATTGTAGTGATTAAAGATTTTAAATACAAACATAACAATTATTGCTTTAATAGAAGTAAGACAAGATTTTACATTTTACATTGGCCGCAGTATTGTCAATGTTTTTAAAGACAACTTGTCAGAAACTTTTACTATTTTGGAGCACAGAAACGTTTTGGTATCCTCTGCTCTAAACTAACCAAACAACAAAACAGAAAACATGTCCACCGATCAGCCAGCACTGACAGGTGAAGTGAATATCACTCATTATGTGGTTATCATGGCTCCTGTCAGTGGGGGGGATATATCAGGCAGCAAGTGAACATTTTGGGCAACGTTTTGCTAAACATCAGTGCAACTGTCTGTTCCTGGCTCATGTTAGCATTCAGCTAAGAGAACCATTGTGCCTTAGTAGCCTCACAGAGGACTCATAGAGTTCTGTTTTTGTGAACTCAGCAGCTGGGCATTATTACTAGATCACTGGTTCTCTTTTTTCTTTTTTAACACAATGGATAACAAGAGTATTTACAAAACCAGAAAATTTACAAAACAACCACAGAAAAACAGGGACATTAGGTTATCGGTAAAATACAGAAACAAAAATATTTTATTTTATTTAATGAAATAAATGAATTTAAAGGTCCAGTGTGTAACATTTAGGAGGATCTGTTGTCACTAATGGAATATAATATTCATATGTATGTTTTCATTGTCATTGTGTTTTCCTTATCTTAAAATGAGCCGTTTATATCTAAAGACACCCCAGGTCGCCTTGGGAACTGCCATATTTCTCCAGTAGCACAGAAGGGATAAACCAAACACTGGCTCTAAATAGGGTCTTTCTCTAGATCCCACCAAATCATACAGAGTGTAAAGGACCAGTGTATAGGATTTGGTGGCATCTAGCAGAAAAATGTGAAAGAAAAACAATATGATCAAAATACTGAAGCATTTTAAATAAAAAGACCATGACATCACTGAAATGTCATTTCAAATAAGTTCTGCCTTTCCTGTAGCTGAAGTTGAATAGGGTCGGCCTACGCTGGTGTATTTTAACGTGGGTCATAAGGGTGGTAGTTGGAGAGCCTAATATTTTCTGAGGAGGTACACAATGTAAAAAGAACCACTGTCATAGATTATAGGTAGGTGGATTAGAGGCAGACAGACTGTGTGCACTCGTATCACAACTGAGATGTCAGTGAGGACGATCATTGAAGGGCATCAGTTTGTATTTTGCAAAAGTGGCTGTAACTCAGCAGTCAGAGGGTGGTTGTAATATTACTTCATCATCAGATGCCTGTGCATGTGTGTGTCCATGCTATAAATCACTGCATTTCCAGGCAGCCAATGGATATTTGCCCATCCAGTAGTCCTGCAAACTGGAAGCATGTCTGATTCACACACACTGATTTTCCACTCTCTTGTCCTCTAATGGACATTTACAGGAAGCAGCTGCAGCGTACAAGCCCTCACACACACACACACACACACACACACACACACACACACACACACACACACACACACACAGGGTGTAGTCTGCTGCTTGAGAGTTTGGGAGACCAACAGTGAGAACACAGTGAGGTGTATAGACTCCCCTATTCCCTCTTCTACTCTGTCTGTCTATAACTCATCTTCCCTCTCTCTCTGCAAGTGACTGCTATACATCATTCTTCATCGGGGGATTCCTTTCTTGCCTTGTTTTTTGTCTGACTTTATGAACTTATGAAAGCAATAAAGGAACCAGAGCTCTGTATCTGGTCCTTGTGCTGTATGAGGCTGCTGTGGCTCAGTTTGTAAAGCAGGTCGTCACCCCAATGCAGTCAAAGTGTCCTTGGGCAAGATCCTAAACCCCAAATCACTCCTGAAGGCTGTGCTGTGTGTGTGTGTGTGTGTGTGTGTGTGTGTGTGTGTGTGTGTGTGTGTGTGTGTGTGTGTGCGTGCGTGCGTGTGTGTAGGTGTGTGTGTGCGTGTGCGTGTGTGTGTGTGTGCGTATGGTTGAGCTTAGTATAATCTTGAGTACTTTGGATAGGAAGTGCTGTTTGCTCCTTATTGGATCCCTGCCATCAGTGTATGAATGGGTGAATGTCACAAGTGTTGTAAAGTGCTTTGAGTGGTCATAGCAGGAGTGTGTCCAGTGGGGAGGCCCTGGGTGGCACTGGCCACCCCTGAAATTTAAATGGCCATCCCGGCTGTGGCTCAGAGGCAGAGCGGGTCGTTCCTTAATCGGAAGGTTGTGGGTTCGATCCCCAGCTCCTGGTGCCACATGTCTAAGTATCCTTGAGCAAGATACTGAACTCCAAATTGCTCCCGATGCCATGCATCGGTGTGTGAGTGTGTAAACTAACAAGTTTCTGTTCGATGGACTTTGCCATCACTGAGTGAATGTGTGTGAAAGGGTGAATGTGGCACGTAGTGTAAAAGTGCTTTGAATGGTCGGAAGACTAGAAAGGCACTATACAAGTACAGGCCCATTTACCATTTACCATCCCTCTCTTCCACTCCGAGAATAGCCCAATTGTATTATCCCATGTATAAAATGATCAACAGTGACCTCTAGGATAATCCCATCCCCATAAAACTGTACAACCACAAACTAGAGGCATTCAGTTGATTGATGGCTTTCCTAGCTATATTGACAAAATGGTACGATTTTGAAGACTTAAAGAATCAAGTATAGAAGCTTTATATCATATTTGTATGTGCCACTCTGTGTTGCACTCTGTACTGTAATGTTTGTAGTTCAAGTAGATAGAGAACTGGTAAAATATTGCTACTCTAAAATGTATGTGTGTGTGAACACATATACGTCAGTGCCCCATTTGTGCCACCCCAGTCAAAAAAACCTGGACACACCTGGTCTGTAGACCAGAAAAGCGCCATTTAAATGCAAGTACTTGCATCTGTATTTGACAACCTGGGAATGAGAACCGACTGTGAAGAGTGTAGGAGAAACTACGGTGGCCACGGAACCGTATCTACAGCCAGTGTTTGGTTTGTCTGTTCTGGGCTACTGTAGAAACATGGCCATCTTTGTAGTCCTGTCTCTGCCAGCTGGGCAAAGAGGGGGAGCGTGGGTGGAGCTGAGGCCGGCTGATAGAAGCCTGGTTACTGAAAAAAAGTGTTTTTTGTACCAGCCTGCAAACATGGCCTTATGGACACTGACTCACTTCTGGAGCCAACCCCAAATGGCCGAAAGAGGAACTGCAGCTTTAGTTACTTTCATGTTGGCTAAATTTGCAGACATGGAGGTTGCCACAGTGTAATATAGACTTTTTTTTCACCTCTTATATAATATTTAGTTGGAGGAAAGCAAAAACCTCACATGGAAATGCAACATCAGGCTGTGTTACATTATTCAAGCAAAACCAAGTTCTGAGACATGAAACAAGTCATTACAAGCAGTGACAGTGGTGCATCATTAGAGATTCATGTCACTTATAAATTACAGTGGACTGAACAACAATGTTTCATTTTCAGACACATGTTGTCCTGATTCCTCCATCCTCAGTTCTACTCCTTTTATCTCTCCCACACAGTGTGAGTGGGAAGACACAAGACAGAAGGCAGAGAACTGTCACAATTATCTCTTTATTCACAATACAAGGGTATTATAAGTCATCTTAAAATGATACAGTATATTTATATTGTGCCACAAAGGGGTCATTTCATGTTTGCAAAAGTATATAAAAGGTATCAGCACTTCCACAGTCCATCTCCTAGAGAGAGTTTGCGTCCCAACATTAAGCAGTGTTTTGTGATCAGCTCCATTATCTCTCTCTGCAGATGGGAGGTGACGGTATGGACCGGCTGCTCTGCGTCCTGCGGCGTTGGCATACAGACCAGGAGCGTGTTTTGCATGAGTCTGTTGTCCATCGACCAGCAGGACATTCTGACTGTTTCAGAGGACGAGTGCAGGGAATTTAAACCTTCCATCCTGCAACCCTGCAACCAGGTGGACTGTCCTCCTGCCTGGGAGACCGAGCCCTGGCAGCAGGTAGGACTGTGTGTGTGTGTGTGTGTGTGTGTGTGTGTGTGTGTGTGTGCGCGCGCGCGCCCATGTATGTGATTGTGTGTGTAATAAAAACTGATTAAACTCCTCCGTTCCTACCTCTGCTTGCTCCCTCCAGTGCTCGCAGTCCTGTGGTGGGGGTGTCCAGGTGCGGAAAGTCTACTGTAAGCAGCTCCTGTCCACAGGAGCCTATAGGATGCTGGGGGACAAGTCCTGCTGGGGGGCCAAACCTGCCACTAACAGAAGCTGCAGCAACACTGACTGTCTGCCCTACATGGCTGGAGGAGAATGGGGAAAGGTGAGCACCAGCACATTTTCAGTACTACAATATTTGTACAGGAACATTTCTAAGTTGAACTAAGGCCCGATCAAGTCTTCATTAATAACAGCAACGTATTTGTGCAAAATCAGTTCTTTTCAGTGGAATTGCAGTGAAATGTGGATATCCTTGCAGGAGTAAAGTAAATTAGCAAATTTACGACTTTAGGGAACTTGGCCCACAAATTAGCGGCATTAAGCAATAGCAAACATTCTCAACAGTGCTTACGTCTGAGGTAAAGTGATGGTAAATTTTTACCATCCACATTTACTAGTGCAGTGCCCGTAGCAATATGCTATAGAAAAGTGGGAGGTTAAGTAGCTTTTTCATGGATGGCCAAATGAGGTTGTGTTTGAAGGTGTAGCAGCTAGCTACAGACGAACATCCACAGATTCCGATTCCAGTTTGTTGTCCTCGCGTATCTGGATCTCCTCGGACCGGAACAGCCTCGGTCCGGACTCGTTCAGTGTCAGTAATCCACAACAGTCAGTTTAGATGCACAGAACGGGACCGAACAGCCGGCAAAATCCGCTGCAGGTATAAAGCCACTCGCGCCACTGCAGGTATAGATCAGCGTGTTTCTTAAGGTGTGTCGTGGGGGTGGGCTCTGCAGTGATTGGCTCTGGTGTGCACGTGGCTATGGTGTGTTGAACACACCGGCGCGTCCGTCAACTCAGGAGGTGGGGCGTGAGGGTGGGCTCTGCAGTGATTGGCTCTGGTGCGCATGTGGCTATGGTGGCTATCGTTGACAATGCTAGCGGAATTCGTAAATCATTTATGAAATAATTTATTAACGGTATCTTTGTAGTCCAAACAAAGCCGACGTTGCACACCCTTAAACCACACTGCAGCCATGTTGAAACTCTCAGGTCAGTCTGATCCTGATCTGCAGAGATATTTGAGGCACACACACAGAGAGATATCGTGCCTTCGTTCCCAGAGACTGGGAGAGTGTATGTAGGTCACACGTAAATTTGCTGAATTTATTCCTCCCACTAAATGTATTTAGTAGTATTTATTTGAAATGTGTACATTGTTTTACTGATAACTTTAAAACACAAGAGCCTTAACTTTTCCTAAATGCACATATTTTGTCTCATAAAGTGACCGTGAGAGAAAATAATGGACACCTGTTAACCTCAATGCCATTATTTTATTTTATTTTTAAAGTATTTAAAATGTGTATTGTTTTACTGCTGATGAAGTTGTGATTTAAACGGCCCAGCAGTAAAAATAGTCCGAAACTTTCATTTATGCACAGTTTTGCTCTTCTCACTGTGAATTGAGTCCCCATAGTTTGTCATTTTTAAAAAGTGGATCCCCAGAAAAAAACACAGGACTAGAATATTGCAATGCACTTTTCACTGGTCTTCCTAAAAAGTCCATTGAGAGGCTGCAACTGCTAGACTGCTAACAAAAACAAAGAGAGCACTCATTGCCATTGCACTGGCTCCCTTTATTCTCTTGAATTGATTTTAAAGTCCTTCTACTTGTATACAAAGCTATCAACAGCTTCGGACCATCACAGATTCCCTGTTGCTAAATGTTCCTTTACAAACCCTTAGACTTTTTACTGTCCGCTTTCTAGACATCCAAAACTCCACCATAAAGAAAACTGGAGATGCAATGTTTTTTTATATATGCTCCCTAACTCTAGAGCAGTCTACTGAAAGATATGAGGCAGGCTCTGTTGAAATTTAGTGATGGCACTTAAAAACATATCTCTTTAACCTCGCCTTGTTTATAGCACCACTTCTTACAATGTGCGTGCATGATACTGTGTCCCACAGGCTGTTTTTAAATGACCTTTATGCTGGTTTTAAATGCTTCTTAAATTATTTTTTATTTAGTTGAATATGCCTCTTATTATATTGTATGGATGTTGAATTAGGTTTGTTTGTAGTAAACATTCATATTCTATTCTATTCCATTCCATTATGTTCTCTAGTGCTCAGTGTCCTGTGGTGTGGGGATCCAGTGGAGGGAGCCCCTTTGCCGCCAGTTGACGGGCGTGGGCCAGCAGGTGACGTTGGCCAAGGAGCTGTGCTTAGGGCTGCCCTCCCCACTGCTCCTGCGAACCTGTCGCATGATGGCCTGTCCCAGTAAGAACACACTGTCACAAACTGAGCCATACGGCCATGACAAATGGAGGGAGACGCACACAACAAAGCCAAATTAACAAATGATTAATTAAGGAAAATAATTAAACTAAACTAACAGTAGTATGTGAAATCAGTGGGATCAGTGGTGTTAGTGAGTGCATGAGTGGTGAAGTGTATGAGTGCTGTGTTGTATTAAGTTGCAGCAACACAATCAAACCATCAATCCCAAAAACAAAATAGTTGTCTCAGGAAGGAGAGAGAGAGAGAGAGAGTACTGAGCTCCCAGAGGGTTTTTAAAGGAGCATGGCACACAGGCCTCAGGTGTGGCCAATTTACTGACGACCCTCTGCCACGCCCACTTAAAGTACCTGCACAGAAAACAGTGACACGAACAGGAACAGGAAGACAGGGTGGAGTGGGTCGTCACACCCATCTACAAGACGGGGGTCCCACAGGATTTCTGTCAACACAACAAACACAGAAAAACGTAAATAGCACAACTCACATCCTGTAAACTTCCAGTCCCAAAGCCATTCCCCCAGCAACCACTCAACCTGTAGGGAGCAAATTTAAGGGAATGTAGAGGAAGAGGAATAACAAGAGATAAACAATTTTCTAGCCACTACTCCAAAACTGGAGCCCGAGACAGTGCATCCGCAACTACATTATCACAGCCTTTAATGTGTCGAATCTCTAGATCATGAGACTGCAGGAACAGTGACCACCTAATCAGCCTCTGGTTAGGGCATCGCAGGAAGTGCAGAAAGGTGAGTGGGTTGTCGTCTGTGTAGACCACCACTGGTGTCACCCCAGACCCCACACAGACTGCAAAATGCTGAGAGCCCAGATTAAAGCAAGGGCCTCCTACTCAACTACTGACTAGTTTAACTGATACCGGTTGAATTTCTTACTTACTTACTGCCCTGTCCACTCCCTGCTCATCTGCCTGCATCAACACGGCTCCTGCTCCTACATGGCTCGCATCAAGACAAAGGGATGATCAAAATCCAGGGTGCAGCTAGCACTGGTGCTGAACACAAAAGAGACTTTACATTATCAAAAGCTTCCTGGCACTTGGTTGACCACACAAACTGAGCCCTGGCCTTCAGCAAGTCAGTAAGTGGTGCCACTACTGTAGAAAAATGTTTACAGAAACAGCGGTAATACCCCACCATTGCAAGAAATCTCATGAGCTCCTTTTGTCATGGCCGTATGGCCCAGTTTGTGACAAATACTCACATATATTCTAATACCTTTCAATTAAATTAGATTAAATTTTATTTGTATAGCGCCAATTCATAACAGAAGTTATCTCAGGACACTTTTCAAAATAGAGCAGGTCTAGACCGAACTCCTTATAAGATTAATTTACAGAGACCCAACAGTACCACCATGAGCAAGCACTTGGCGACAGCGGCAAGGAAAAACTTCCTTTTAAGAGGCAGAAACCTCGGACAGACCCTTAGGCTCTAGGTGGGTGGCCGTCTGCCTCAACCAGTTGGGGTGAGAGAGAGAGAAAGAAACACAGAGAGAGAGAGAGAGAGAGAGAGAGAGAGAGAGAGAAAACAGAGGTAACAACAGAAGGACAGAGACAAAGGTGCACAGCAACAACAGTAGCAACAACTACACTAATAGTAGTGACTGATGGTGATGAACATGAAGAAGATGCCGATGACAACAACGATGGGGACAATGAGCAGTGATTATAGTAATAATAGTAACTGTAGTTATATATATAACAGTAATAATAATAATAACAATAATATCAGTAATATTCGCAATGGGAGTCAAGCAGGACCATGGCAGGAGGCTCCACCAGGATCCATGAGAACCTACGAGGCAAGAAAGAACAAGAACTCCGGGGAAGAAGTGAAGTTAGTAACATGCATTCATGGGACATGAATGTGTGCAAAAAGAAAGGTAGAGGAGCTCAGTGCATCATGGGAAATCCCCCGATAGTCTAGGTCTAAGCATAACTAAGGGATGGTTCAGGACTCACCTGAGCCAGCCCTAACTATAAGCTTTATCAAAGAGGAATGTCTTAAGCCTACTCTTAAATGTGGAGAGGGTGTCTGCCTCCTGAACCACAACTAGAAGCTGGTTCCACAGGAGAGGAGCTTGGTAACTGAAGGCTCTGGCTCCTGTTCTACTTTTAGAGACTATAGGAACCACCAGTATCCCTAAGAATGCAGTGTTCTAGTGGGGTAATAGGGTACTATGAGCTCTTTAAGATATGAAGGGGCCTGACCATGAAGAGCGTTGTAGGTGAGGAGGAGGATTTTAAATTCTATTCTGAATTTTACAGGGAGCCAGTGTAGAGAAGCTAACACAGGAGAGATGTGATCTATTTTCCTAGTTCCTGTCAGTACTCGTGCTGCAGCGTTTTGAATTAATTGGAGCGTCTTAATGGACTTATTGGGGCAACCTGATAATAAGGAATTGCTGTAATCCAGTCTAGAAGTAACAAATCCATGAATTAGTTTTTCTACATCCGTCTTCGGCAGGATGTGTCTAATTTGTCTAATGTTACGTTAATGAAAAAAGGCAGTCCTGGAGGTCTGCTTTATGTGGGAAATTAAAGGACATATCCTGATCGAAGATACCGCTAAGATTCCTGACAGTGGTGCTGAAGTTTAGCATCAGAAAATTGCAGCTCATCCAGGTTTTATGTCCTTAAGACATGTTTGTAACTTAGGTAACTGATTAATTTCATCGGGCTTGATCGGTAGATATAACTGGGTATCATCTGCATAACAGTGAAAGTTAATATAGTGATTCCTAATAATACATATACAAAGTGAATAGAATTGGTCCAAGCACAGAACCTTGGGGAACTCCATGACTAACTTTAGTGTTTATGGAGGGTTCATCGTTAACGTGTACAAACTGAGAACAATCTGATAAATATGACTTAAACCAGCTTAGTGCGGTTCCTTTAATGCCAATTTGATGCTCAAGTCTCTGTAAAAGAATATTATGGTCGATGGTGTCAAATGCGGCACTAAGATCTAATAATACAAGAACAGAGACCATTGTCCATTGTCAGAAGCAATTAAAAAGTTGTTATTAACTTTAACCAGTGCTGAGCAGAGGGAGAGGGAGAAGCCATAGCTAACTGCTAATGATAATTTAGGTAGCGTGTGAAAATCTTTGTAATTTTTTTTGCGAAAAGTCGCTAAAAGGATGAAGTAGCTCTGAGTGTGAGTCTTAACACTGTACACAGGAGCAGTCAGTAACCGGAAATGACACATTGCGCTTACCTTTATGTACTGTATGTTCATATAAAAAAAGAAAAGAAATGTCGAACTAAACAAATAATGTGTATTTTTAAATGGTCCTCCATTTATTAGCTAATGTTAGCTTGAGTTACCAATTTCTAGCGACACAAAAACATTACAGGTCCTGAGGTTGCATTGTTGATAATGCTAAAGAGCTAGCAGTTGTTCATTAGATGAAAAGTTGTAAAAACATGCATGTTGTCTCAAAAATTGGTTACGGTTCTGACTGAGGCTTGCTCAACTGTTAATGGAGCACAGAGGAAAGAGGCACGGGACTTAGGAAGGGTTGATTACACTAAAACATGTTCTTAAGTATGCTTATCAAGTTCCTAGTCAGGCCAGATTTTGTATGGCACCCTTTCGTTCAGGCCCGGTGGATTCTTGCAAATGCCATCAGGAACACCAGGAGGAACCAGAGGAACCTGATTTTTTCATAGATTTTCTGTCTCATGTAATACTGTCAGGATATAGTGAAAGTTTCAGCGAATATGACAAAAGGTTATTTTTATAAAAGTTACCTACTGCAGCTTTAATATATGGTACCAAATGAGTGTCTGTTTTTGATAGTACCAAAGCATATAATTTTTAATACGTCCCAGATGAAACTAAAGCTAAAGGCTTGTTCTTCTTTCTGAACTTATTTTATTTATTAATAACAAGAACTGTAGCTTGTGACAGGCCAGATTACAGCCTTATTAAACATTCGATTGAGTACAATGTTGGTATGTGTATATGGCTGTAAAATGATAACCCATGGGGCTGTGAGCAATATATACCCATCCCAGCCCTCTGCAGGACCTTACTTTATCAAGCTATCAACAGACCCTGTTCTCTCTTTGAACATGCATATTTGCAGAAGAAAAAAACATTCTTTTTGAAAACCCAGTCAGGCTTACTGCCTTGTACACAGGCAGCTAGGAAGTGTGTGTATATTCTCAACATGTGGGAAGAACATATGAAAATCAAGTTCAGCAGTTGTTCATTGACTGTTGACGAGTTCACATGAAGGCTATGGCCAAGCTACAGGAGGGGAAAGCTCTACTCCTGTTTGCACATTCATATTCACTGTGTGCAGTTCCAATATTCGGAGAGCTACCATTTAATCGGATGTAAGCCCCTCTCAGCTGGGACACAGACTGTAAAACTCATGCCTTGCAAATGTCACGGCGACTCCTGAGTCCGAGTCCAAATATGTTTCATAAAATGTTCTCTCCAGCTGCTGTTCTCTGCTCTCTCCATACATATTACTGGTTAATTAGGATTAAGGTCAAGGCTGTGTCATTGGGAGAGTTAAGCTGCTTCATTGAAAGTGCTTGTATGTACGATGGTCTAGTATCTTAAGAGACCCCTTTCCCCACATACATTTCTGCTGTTGGATCAAGGGGGAACGGAGGCTGTGTCCAACAATTTGTGTAACTTTCAAAAACCAAAAATCTGATATTCAAACAAGCTTCACGCCGTGATTGGCCAGCTGGGCATAGGTGATAAAGGGGCCAGGGTTTGAACCAATGACAGTATATATAATGGACAGAACTGCCGAGTCTGTGAAGTAAAACCAATGTGGTCTGTCTTAAATCTGCATTCTCGATAATAGCCAGCATCGGGCAGCGACAAAGGCTGCAGTCAACTCCTCACTTGATTCATTAGCTCAGTAAATAGTTTCCTAATGGGTTTATGGTCTCCATCTCTAGTTTCAGTCTGCATGATGCTCATTTAGTAAATTAGGAGGCTACCTTGTTATTGACAGGCAATTCTCAGTGAGTCCGTCCAGCTCAATGCACCAAACTCAGATCAAACTGTGGCACCATCTGAATATATCTCCTTGAGAGTCTATTACAAATGTAATCATAAAGGTTGGGTCTGGCCTTTTATCTGTAATACAAGTACCGATTCATGAATTCATCAATCAGTGCCGAATTTCGGTACCTGAGAGCGCATCTGGGTGAGAGAGTAAGTGAGCATGAAGAGAGAGAGACTAACATTATCAGGGCTCCAGAGTTTTTAAGAGTGCGACTAATAATTGTTCTAGGTCGCACTGGTGCACCTGACGCTGCCCAGGTGAAAACATAACACAATTTATTTCGCAAGCACATCCTCTCTCTGTGTTCTCCTGTGACCGAACTCACACACTCATGGTAGGATCATATCGGTACAACAAAGGACGTAACACAATGCACTGCGTGTACTGTCAGGAGTGCGGTCAGAATATGGCTGGAAATAGTGCATTCGTGAGCGGGTCAACAACGTTTCGTATCAAACTTTTATTTAGAAATGTTTTATTTTGCTTAGTGTTTTAGTTTGAAATGTTGTTTCAATTTCAGCTCAGTGAAGCACTTTAAACACTTTATTTTTCTTTTTATATATAATTGTGATTCAAATAAAGACAAGCATTTCTCTACACCTTATTCTTGTTTAAAAATCATTCACATTATATGAAAGTTATGGAGAGTGATAAAAAGGTGACCTTATGACGTTAAAGGCGACGCAATGAAAAATTTGGGTGCACCTACATTTTGTGCTGGTGCACCAGTGCAACCAATGCAAAAGATTAGTCTGGAGCCCTGATTATGTTCTCCCTGCAGCTTCTTCAAGTCACAGTGAGACAGGGCACGCAGGCTTTGTAATGCCAAATGCAAAGCAGGACATAGTAACACATCTAAGCAGAGTGCGCGCCACGTTGGCTGCTAAAGTTAAGGTCCAGGCTGCTTTCAGCGGCGTCCAGCAGCGCAACTCGCCGCCTCTGAAAACTCTCAAAAAACATTTAAACTGACAATTGTTTATCAAAAATGAAGACAGATTGAGCAACTGCATAGCTAATTTCTTGCTTCATTTGTTTTCACGTTTTGGTGAACTATTTTTTATAATATAAGAGAAAGTTTCCAAACATGCCACCGGTTTAAAATCCCAGAGCAGAAAGCGTTTATCCAATCAGGTGTAGCCAGGAAGTGTTGGGGTGGTTGTAGAGGGTGTAGGCTTTTGTTGGCCTATACGACTACAAGTGTCCACTGGTGTGACCCATCATGTCCAAAATCTTGCCTGTGGACAGGTTCCGTAACGTTAGCATGCCTGTTGTTGTTGTTAGAGATAACTGGGTGTTTTTCACTGTCTTGGTTGATTGACAGTTAACTTAGCATTTTTACTAGTGTTAGCCAAATGACTTTGAACTCACACAGAAACAAATTTATAACTGATAACATCACAAGAAGAAACAATAGTCAGTATCTCTCCCTCTCCTTTTGCAGTGTGTGCAGGCAAGAGTAAGTAAGAGAAGTAAGTTGCCATGGTTACGGGGATGCTTTGTGTCCCTGTCATTTTGAAACTATAGAGTAAATGAACAAATTTTAGTATTAGAAGGTAACCTACATTTTCAACAAAGCGTGATCACTCATGTTTTTATGCTGACATAATTTTGTCTTTTTTTTGTCTGTCTGTTTACTTTTGTGGACTTTCTTCTGTCACTGTTGTCTGCTGAAAACACCCACTCACATTACTCATTAACTATAACAGAAACCAAGAAAGAGATGAGACCCAAAGCCACCAAGAAGGTTCCGGTGAAGTACCAAGTCAAGCAGGCAGTAAGACATCCAGCAAAGGCCAGAGGCTATAACCCCGGGGTTAAACAGTGTCCGTTACTCATGGGTGAGCACCATATCTACATTCAGACCCGCAAGGAAAAACGCCTGCGCCTGACCATCGGCGGTCACGCCTACCTATTACCCAACACCTCACTGGTTATCAAATGCCCTGTCAGAAGGTTCCCTAGAGAGTACATCCGTTGGCGGAAAGACGGCCGCCTCCTGCTCAATTCCAAACGCCTGGTTGTAAGCAAATCTGGCTCTCTGAAGATCAACTCTGTGGGGGCAGAGGACATCGGGGTGTATAAGTGTGTTGCTGGACCTGCCTCAGACATCTTCACTCTCCAGCTAATAGGTAGAGACAGCAGGCCAACTGGCAGACCATCTACTGCCAGTCCTAGTCCCGACTCGCAATGGATGATGCCCAGCTGTCATAGCCACTACCCAAGCTCAGAGTTGTTCTGGTCTCAAATTCGTGTGTCTCTGCTGCCCCCCGGTGTCCACGAGACTTCTCTGCAGCCACTGGTGGAGGAGAGGCTGAGTAATATTACGCTGCAGGCCGACAGAGAGGAAATCAAGCAGGAGCAGGCCTCAGAGCTCATCTCCTCACTGCTGACCCACATGCCTTCTGCCCAGCTCTGGACCAGGACTACAGAGGGAGGAGGACAAGTGAAAGGTAAATATAGCCCCAGCTGCCTATGCTGCAAAGTGTGTTGCTTTGAGATGTTCTTCTTCTTCTCTGTAAGACAAACTATTTCTTCCAACACCTTATCTGTCATTCTTCATCTAATTAATGTTTACAGTGATTGCATAGTTTGATATGTGCTGATATGTGCTTGTAAGACGAGCTTTGATATGTATATAATAAGATTTATATATAGTAAAAGAAAGAAATGAGGACAGAAAACAGAAGTAGATAGATACAATCAAGGAAGCATCTTGCCATGGGGTTCAAGGTGAAATGAGAAACTTATTTAGTTGAGTCTTAAAGGCTGGCAAACATAGAAAATGATTTTAATGTTATATTTAATGAATACCATAACTGTGGACCTCTAAATCTGATAAAGAATTGATTTCTTGTTGTATGACAGTAGGGTAAATGCAAATCATTCTTTCGTCTAGTGGAATAGGAGTTATGTCAGAAGATAAAATAAAATTATGAAATGTATGTATGTATGTGGAGATGTTGCCTGACAGCAATGAGTATTTTCTAAACAGAAGTGCAGACAAGTCTTGTCTCTTAAAATAGAAAATAATTCTCAAAAACTTCCTTTGAATTACAAATAATTTGGTAAGATGTGATGGATATGTAGCAGCCCAAACAATACTGCAGTAGTTGATGGAAGGAAAAAATTCAACTATAATACAGAGTTAGATGAGAAGAAGGATAGATCAAAGAACAAACTTTTCTCAACATACCATCTTAAGATAAGATAAGATAAGATATTCCTTTATTTATCCCCCTTAGGAGAAAGTCAGGTTGACACAGCAGCAATAGGGCAAAATAGTGCAAAAACAGAGAAAGAATTTCACAATAAAAATATTACTAATATTATTAATATTAATAATTAGGAGATATAAAACTATAAATGAAAGTATATACACTATGCATTGTTCAAGTAGGATATGGAGTGCAAAATATAAGCAGAAAATTAAACTTGACTAAAACTAAAAAACTAAAACTACTAAAGTGGAAATTAAATATAAATAGTGCAAAAGGCTTGTGCATTGTAGGTAGGAGTTTTAAACCAGTCTTTGTCAGCGGGGGTTGGAGGTACTGGGTGCTGTGGCGTTGTGGAGTCTGATGGCTGATGGTGCAAACGAGCCTCCAAACCGCTTTAAGGCTCGGGGCTGGGTCAGACTGTAGCTGAAAGTGCTCCTGAGCTGCCTGAGCTCAGTGTAGAGAGGATGAGAGGGGTTGTTCATGATGGCTTTCAGCTTCCCTCTCATCCTCTTTTCAGTCACAGCCTCCACACTGCCCAGCTCCATCCCCACCACTGAGCTGGCCTTCCTCACCAGCTTGCTAAGCTTGTTGGCACCCCCAGTGCTGATGCCTCCCCCCCAACAGACTACTGCAAAGAAGAGGACACTGGCCACTACGGAGTGGTAGAACATCTTTAGTAGCACACGTTGAATGACCTGAGCCTCCTCAGAAAAAACAGCCTGCTCTGTCCTTTCCTGTAGAGGGCCTCAGTGTGATCCGTCAAGTCCAGTTTATTGTTGAGTGTCACCCCCAGGAACTTGTAGGTCCACCATCTCTACCTTCTCCCCCCTAATCTCAACAGGGGAGGGGGTCCTCTTGCTCGGCCGGAAGTCCACCACCAGCTCTTTGGTTTTTCCTGTGTTGAGCTGTAGGTGGTTCCTGTCGCACCATCCATTGAAGTTCTCAAGAACCGACAATGGAGGAGTCATCAGAGAACTTCTGTAGGCTCTCTCCAGAGTTGAAGCAGAAGTCAGAGGTGTGGAGGGTGAACAGGAACGGTGACAGTGCAGTTCCTTGGGGTGTACCAGTGCTGCTCATTACCACATCTGACAAGCAGCTGTGCAGTCTGACATACTGTGGTCTGTCAGTGAGGTAGTCTGTGATCCAGGCCACGAGGTCTTGATCCACCTGCATCACAGAGAGCTTTTCTGCCAGCCGGAGAGGCTGGATGGTGTACAAGGCACTGGAAAAGTCGAAGAACATGATTCTCAGTGTGGTCTGTGACTTCTGCAGGTGGGTGTAAGCTCTGTGGAGCAGGTAGATGATGGCATCATCCACGTCGATGTCGGCCTGCAGAGGGTCAAGTAGGGGTGGGCGATATGGGCATAAAATAATATCTCATTATTTTTTGGGATTTTGGCGATAACGATAATCAGTCGATATCCTTTCAAATGTGATTGGAATTGTCTGAGTTTGGGCTTGTGTCCACCACACGCGTTTTTAGCGCTGAGAGCGCTCAAAAACTCATTTTCCGAGCGCCCAGCGGTGTAAAAAGTTGAACAGATTTCAACTTGAAGCGCTCTGAGCGCTTTGCTAAAAAAGTATTTTCGAAACTAAACCATTTCCATGCCAGAGAGGTAGACCCACATCTCGGTACTAAATCATCTGAAGTACCGGTAGCTTCAGGGACTGGAGGTGCTTGCATTTTCTCTCTACCATCATAACACGCTGCTAAACTGTTGCAAGGAGGATGCTAGCGAGAGGTCATGTGATCACGCCATGTGATCACGTAGGCCCACTAGTCCTATGACTGAATCCTGCCATGCTATAGAGAGCGTTGCTGCACCCTGTATTAAGTGGATGTGAGGAGTTTCCACGTGCGATTCAATATTTTTGGCGAAGTAATTTAAATACTCGATAATGGAAATTTGCACATCGTCAAAACAACAATGACGATATTTTCGCAAACGATATATATCGCCCACCTCTCGGGTCAAGGCAGTCGCGTACCTGGTGTCTGAGTTGCTGCAGAACTCTCTCAAAGGTCTTCATAACATGTGACATTAAGGCTACAGGCCTGAAGTCTTTGGGATCGCTGGGTCTTCCTTTTTTTGGAACAGGAACTAAGCAGGAAGTCTTCCAGATCTTTGGCACCTTCTTCAACCTCAGGGAGAGGTCAAACAGATGCTGGAACATTCCTGCCAGTTGCTCTGCGCACACCTTAAGGACTCTCGGGTTGACGTCATCGGGACCTCTGGCCTTGTTTATCCGGGTTCTGGTGAGCTGCCGTCTCACCTGGCATCTTGTGATGACCGGGTTGGTTGTGGCAGTGATTGGGGGGTGACAGTCCCCAGCTGTGAGGTGATTGGTAGAGGGGGGAGGAGGGTAGGGGTGCAAGAGGGTGGGAGAGTGGGTGTAGTGGAGAGAGGTAGGTGGGGAGAGGAGGTGGAGGTTTGTGGGGTGGAAAAATGGAGAGGATAGAGGGAGTGGGAAAGGGAAAGGGGAGGGAGAGGAGGGTGGTTTAGGGCAGATGAGGGGGGTGGTGTTACTGTCATCATGGGGAATACGGGCTGTGGAGGAGGAGGGTGGTGTAGCCAGGGTCTGAACCTTCTGACTAGGGATGCAGCGATCCACATTTTTTCACTTCCGATCCCGATACCTTAATTTGGATATCTGCCGATACCGATACTATTCCGATACCAGAGCTCTGTTTGCTTTAATATTATTATTATCATTATTGTTTATTTTTTGTATGAGGCTGAAATAAACTCCTCTCAACAGGCAAGTATGATATGTACGTATGTATGCATGTATGTCCCAAAAGGCAACTTGAGGTAAGTATAAGGTCAGAAAAGGAAGTCAGAAAAACAGGAAATCCTGTTAACAGGAAGAATCCCATTCTGAAAACAAATATCCCAAAATGTCAAATATTTGAAATATAAGAAAAGTGCAATAAGTGTAAACAACTTACACACACACACACACACAAACACACACACTCTAATCCCTTTAGCTTTCACGTTGTCTGCCTGGAGTTTACCTTGTTTTTGGAATGACTCCAGAAGTGATTCCTGACAGCTCCTTTTGTCTTTCTGCCCCTGCTCTTCTTCTTCTTCATATGGATTTCCGGCAGTTTAGACGCTTCTAGGTGTATTACTGCCCTCCTCAGGAAGTCACTCTAAGGATAATGTTACTGCTCCTGGCCGGCAGGAATCACTTGTGGAGTCATTTCAGCACACAACGTTAAAGCGCAGACATGGCTCATGGATATCGGATGTCTCCACAGGTTGAATCGGGAAAATCCGATACGTGAATTACGCTGGTATCGGTCCCGATACCGATACTGGATCGGATCGGCCCCATCCCTACTACTGACCTTTTCATGCCAGTAATGCTCCTCATCCCCCCCCCACACACACACACACCTCTCTTGTGCTGGTCTGGTGCAGCTGCCCCTCTATCTTGTTCTTGTAACAGTCTTTGGCCCTGCTCAACTCCCTCCTCAGCTCCCTCTGAATGTCTTTCTTGGCATCCTTATCTTCTGCCATGAAAGCTGCCTTCTTTCTGTTCAACAGGGCTTTGATGTCTCTGTTGATCCATGGCTTGTTGTTGGGGAAACAGCGAATCCTCTTGGTGGGGATAACGCTGTCCTCACAGAACCTGATGTAGTCTGTGACACACTGGGTGAGACCCTCGATGTCGTCTCCGTGGTCTTCCTAGAACACTTCCCAGTCGGTTGTCCTGTAACACTCCATCAAGGCCTCCTCTGCCTCCACCGACCACTGCTGCACAGTCCTGGTGGTGATGGACTGTTTCCTTCTAACAGCAGGCCTGTATGTAGGATTGAGATGTATCAGGCAGTGGTCAGATTTCTCCTTTTCATTGGCATACAGCAGATCCAAGGTCATTTCCCCTTTAGTGTTACAGGTGATGTACTGGGTAAAGTTTGTCAGGGTCTTTGAGATTTTGGTGTGGTTAAAATCTCCGTTTATTATGATGAATGCGCTGAGATGACGTGTATGCAGGTCTGCAATGGCGGAGTGGATGTCGTCACAGGCATACGCCGTTACTGCCCCGGGAGGAATGTAAACAATGACGACAATAGTAGCCGAAAACTCACGGGACAGATAGTATAGCCTTAACCCTATGTCCAGCAGTTCAATGTCAGGCATGCATATTTCTGCCTTCTTGACAACATGTCCAGGGTTACACCATTTAGAGTTCACAAAGACAGCAAGCCCTCCTCCCGACTTTTTACCACTCTGTTTCTTCCTGTCAGCCTGAACTAGTGAAAAGCCGGCTAGTTCCACTGAACAGTCTGGTGTAATGTCATTCAGCCATGTCTCCGTCAGACATAATATGCTGCACTCCCGATCAGTGTTGGGCAAGTTACTTTTAAAAAGTAATGAGTTACAGTTACTAGTTACTTCTTCCAAAAAGTAACTAAATTAGTTACTCAGTTACAAATTATAAAAGTAACTAGTTACTTAAGAAAGTAACTATTGCGTTACTTTCAAGTAAATTTTTAAATGCTCAAATGTGACCCAACCTCCACCCCTCTTTAACGGAACTTAAAATACATGTGCATGTTCAATTATTTATGATAAATCTGAATATTATAATGAGATTGACACTCAATACAATCCATTATTAACAGAAACAATGCACACAAATCTAAACTATTTTAATGTTGCTGTGGGACAAAGTGAGACTAGCCTCCAATCAAATGCCATGTATGTAGATATTATGTTTATATAGTGGATCCATACTAATAACACAATAGATGTTTTTGGAAATAAATTATGCTTGTTAAGCACTATACCAAAAACAAATAACAAATATATACACTCTTTGTAGTGCAAATAAAACAAAAAAAAACAATTGTAGATATACTGTACTACTCTAAAAAGTAGAACAGTGTAACAATATGAGGTGCTTTCAATCTAACTGAAAAGTACAATGTATAGCAAAACTAAGGAATCCAAATATAAACAGTTAGTACATAAGAAATAAAAAAATACAGCTCCATAAAAATAAATCTCTTTCTCTGGCCATTGACAATCTCACTTCAAGAGGCTGCAGCCAGCCAACAAATAAATCTAAATTAAATTATTTAAGCAATGTACCAAAAATGTATTCAAACAATATATACACTCTTTTTAGTGCAAATGTAATAAGATGCAACACAACTCGCCATACCTGTCTCTCGTTGACTGACTCGCTTGTGTTGTTCGTTGTGTGTCGGACTATGTGTGCTTTCGAACACCCGCCCAACTCTACCTTTGATTGGCTTACCATGAAATTTTACTCAACCTCAGCCAATCGTCAGCATTTATGTGCTTGTCTCGTGCACTGCCCACTAACCAAGGAAGAACAGTAACAAAAAGCCTCTCGGCTCAGAGATCTAGTTGGTCTGATTTAAAAAAAACAGCTTCAATTATAGTAACGCGCCGCATTTTTTGGCAGTAACGGTAACGGCGTTATTAAGATGGGAAGAGTAATCAATTAGATTACTTGTTACTGAAAAAAGTAACGCCATTAGGAACGCCATTATTTATAACGCCATTATTTCCATCACTGCTCACGAGAGCTCGTCCATCTTGTTGTTCAGTGAGCGTACGTTCCCCATGACAACCGAGCGAAGACATGGCTTGTATCTCCACCGCCCATCTGTCTTGTTGGTCCTCACCAAGTTCAACTACGACAAAAAAAGTAAAAAATGAACTACCAACACTGGCGGTCTATTTACAACAATAAACAGTGCTATTTAAGAAGGAATAAAGAAGTAGTAAGATTTAAGGTGAAAAAATAAGAGGCGGAGCGGGAGCTGTTGCGTCAAGCTGCCACTCTCTGCGGCGCTCTAGAACTAAAATTAATGGGCCTCTTGCACATATGCTCAATATGTTTTTGCCAATTCAATCTTTCATCCCAACTCAATGAAATTGGTTGAGAAATATAAACAATTTTACATTAGAGTTTACATTATTACATTACATACAAAAGACTCCACTCAGCATCCAGCCATCATTCCTAGGTCTAGGAAGCACATTCCAGAATATATTAGACTTTCTAGGTCCTACATAATCAAGAAATGGAGATCATGAATATAAACATTAACCAATTATACCTCTAGACCAGTAGGTCAGATATTCCATGGGTAAAAGGTCAAATATTAGCTTATGCCAATCTGTAAGGGTTGGTGGCCTATTTGAAATCCATTTTGCCAATTTGCTTTTACATGCAACATTAAAAAATTCAGCAGCTTTAATGTGCAAGTGCCCTTGATTTGTGGGTGTGGTATCCCTAACAGAAGGCATACTGGATCCAAGTCTGATTCTTTATTGAAAACCAGATTTTGAGAGTTTTGAAACTACTTTCACTCAAATAGGATAACTTTTACATCTGTGCATGATATTGGCAGATCTGTATATTGGTGTTGGTCTCATTTCTCGGAGTAACACATATGTTCCTTATGTGGTGTTTGTGTCTGCTTTGTCAAAGTTGCAAACAGACCAGTGATCATCAGACAGCAGCAGACCCCCCAGCTGATTTTTCAGAAAAACATCAACATTAGCGTCGGACAGAGCGCCCTCGTCACCAACACCACCCAATCGCTGACTGTGCTCTGTTCTGCAAATGGCTTCCCGCCTCCCATAATATTCTGGAACAAAGACGGAGTTTTTCTACAGCAAAGTTTCAGGTAACGTACCACAGCTAGTGCTGACACACCAATAAAAGAAGTGATCAGATATCTTGAAAACTTTATTGATCATTCTATCATATGCCAAATATTATAGCCTTAGTCCAAATCAAAAGAGTGGAAATGGGTGAAATGTTTTATTTTTATAAACCACCGTTGGTAGATTTATGTGGAATACCTAAGTTGTAGCATCCAAAGAAATTTTGCTCCAGCATGTAAAAGAGGATACACAAGATCAAATCTTTCACTCACATTTCTTTGAGCACTACTCTTAGTTAAAGGTTGTATATACAGAATTCACTTGCCACTGGATGTCGCACTACCTGAACCTCAGACCAAAACAATGGGACAGAAATAAAATAAAACTCACCAAAATCAACCGTAATCCATTTTTCCAACAATCATCAATGCTGGTTTGGTCAATTCACTGAATTGGACATGAAAATATTTTTTAAAAGGGCTGCAGTAGCCGCACCTAAGATAACATTTATCCTTGGGCATGCACCGTCAAAGTCTGTCCACTAAGAGTTATACAGAAAAACTGTAATTTTACCTTGCATATCATTGTAACATCCAAACTTCAGACAGAAACAAAATAAAATGCACCGGCTGTCTCCACTGTTCCAAAAATCACCAACTCTGGTTTGGTTGAAATAAATGCTTAATTCACTGATGTAGATGATAAAAACAGCAGTTTCAGTGGCTCTACTCAGCTGCATACAGAGCACACGGCTATGGAAACAAACCACAGAGAGGCTGTGATAGCAACACAGGTAGAGGGAGTGAGACACCATGACCCCACTATATCTATACATAGAGAATAGTTGTTTGCTGCTTAATTCATGTTTATATATATATCAACTCATATGTTTTTCAGTTATTCTCAGTATGTATATATTTAACAGTCCTGAATTCCAGGTCCATGGTCATATGGCTACAGGCAGCACATTTCTACTGCAGCTGCACAATAGTTTATTTCTCCTGTTTCTGTCTGTTCACCACTATTTATGAAATACGAGCTCTACAGTAGTTGTAGTCTCAATTAATTGGTACTGTGCCAAAATCCAAAGAATCTGGAGATTCTTTTAGCTCTTGCAGCATTTGGGTCACATCTAGAGCATACCTGGAGATTTTTTTTATATGCTTTATACCAGGTTAAATACTGAGCCAGCATTTGCCTCATTTAGTATACGCCGTCCATGTTGCATACACATTAAAACAAAATATCCAAATATGCCCTTAAGCTATACATTGATATATGTAGACTAAATCTCATTCTTTGTCTCTGAAGCATATATTGTGGACTATGGTGTACAGATATAACCCCAGGTGATGTTTTTACTTTGATATTCAACTGAAACGAATCATTTACAGAGCAAAAGTATAAATAGTTGGTAATGATATGCACCGTCTCTGGGGTAATCAAGGCTGCTCAATTAATCGAAATTTGATCATAATTCCGATTTTGGGGCCAAACGATCTCAAAACTAATACAATCGGGGGGAAATTATTTTTTTTTAATTTTCTGTTGTGTCCCAATTCAGGGATGCAGCCCCTGAATTGGGACACAGCCACAGTGTGCGTATTTCGCGCATGTGTATTTTCGTCCCTCCCCTACAGCATGCACTGCACATGAGTCAGTCACGTTGTTTTCGTTGGAACAGGTAACGCAGCCAGCTACACTTGTCTGAATGGAACATGACAGAAGGAGGATTACAGCGCAGTAATGTTTCTGAAGTTAATGCAGCATGTTTCTGAAGTTTAAAAAAATAATCGTTTGAATAATCGTGATTTCAATTTTGACGCAAATAATTGTGATTATGATTTTTTCCATAATCGAGCAGCCCTAGAATGGGTAGGGGTAATATGACGCCCAGGTACATCATGTGTTTAGACCAAGTGATTCAAACTGAAAGCACCCATCAATTCTCCTGTGTACCCTAAAGTAGTCATATTTGCTGAAACTTTTACTATATCCAGTACAACATGAGACAGATAATCTTTGAAAAAAAATTTGGTTCTTCTGGCTCCTCCTAGTGCTTCTAATGGTATTTACAATAATCCACCGGGCCTGAATAAATTTAATAGCGCCAATTCATAACAGAAGTTATCTCAGGACAATTTTCAAATAGAGCAGCTCTAGACCGAACTCCTTATAACATTATTTACAGAGACCCAATAGTACCACCATGAGCAAGACCTTGGCGACAAGGGCAAGGAAAAATTTCCATTTAATAGGCAGAAACCTAGAGAGAGAGAGAGAGAGAGAGAGAGAGAGAGAGAAAGGTACACAACAACAACTCAACTAATAGAAATGACTGATGATGATGATGACGACAACAGCCACAACGATGGGGGACAAGGAGCAGTGACAATAGTAATTATAGTAACTGTAGTAGCAATAATAATATAAATAATAATAATAATAACAATAATATCAGTGATATTAGCAATGGCAGTCAAGCAGGAACATGGCAGGAGGCTCCACCAGGATCCATGAGAACCTGCGAGACGAGAAAGCACAAGAACTCCGGGGAAGAAGTGAAGTTAGTAACATGCATTAATGGAACATGAATGAGTGCAGAAAGAGAGAGGAAGAGAGGAGCTCAGTGCATCATGGGAAATCCCCCCGGCAGTCTAGGCCTATAGCAGCATAATGGAAACAACCAATCAGAGCCTAGGAAAATTGTTGGTTGTCGAGTCACATTGCCAGTATCTACTATCTTCAAGCCTCCAACCCAAAGCGTCTTTACATCTTTCTTAGCTCTGATTGGTTTTTAGGTCTGTTGGAAATATGATTGACAGTTATTTTTATAATCGTTACCAACTGCAGTTTTAATGTATTTTCAGTGTAAATATCTTTAATCCTCACATAGCTGTAACAGAGAAATTCCATTCAATCACATGTGGATTGAATTAGATTAAATGTGAATAGCAGCTATTAGCATACAGTATATCAGCAAAGCAGTATATTGGTCTAACTGTAGTAGACAGTTTCACAGATCAGCATCTTTTCAGCCTGACTGGTTCCTCTGCTGGTTCCTCCTCCTCGAGGCAGGTTGAGCGATGATACAGCAAAATAGGAAAATATTGTGAGTCATTTGCACTGCATGGAGTGTACACACACCAGGTTTCCAGTATTAGTAGTATTCAACAGTGCAGGATATACATTTGAAATCAGGTGTTGATTTGTCCAGTATCGTTTACATAAGCTGATAATCTAGCACCATATGTTTGAGGTGAAATGCACAACAGCCTGCAGACACAGTGTATGTCATTTCCAGTGGCATACAGGCAAACTATGCTATTGAGTTTCCGTCTCATTCAGTAGTTCTGGTCCAATGAATATTGATGCCCTTTTGAAAAAACACTTAATGTAAGTTTAATTTAAGGAGGAAGCAGACCACACACTTTGCACTTTTGGGATCTTGTCAACTAGAATCCATAGCCCTTATTTGCTCAACTCCCAGGTTTGGGAGACAGATTGAGGTTTGAGAGCTGATGGAAGGGCAGACAGCTGCATATGGAAGCCATCACCATTTTGCTCGAGGACCTGTCAATCACACCATGACTGACTGCTGTAGAGAGTGTGCTTTTCTGCTTCAGTACCTTACACAAGTTGCCCTGTTCTTGATTCCACCAATCTTCCTTCTTAACAGGCACTGACAGTCTCTGAAATGTATGCTGTCATTGTCTTATAAGTTCAAACCTGCTGAAGTGGCATGGCTCTGCATGGTTGTCAGGATGCTGCTAGCAGGCTGGGCCAGTGTATCTACTCTAAAGTCTACCAATCTGTTCTAAAGTCTCCCAAAACCAAATGCACATGACCCCACTTCCCTGTCTTATATTTTCTTCCCAAAACATGGGATTGTATGAAACATTGCTGTCTTCATCTGCATGCAGGCACTGGGGCAAAGGTTTGCCTATTGACTCTCCCACCTCCCACTTTCTGTGTATTGTGTATGTACCCTGTAGCCGCCAAGTTACCATTAAATACAGTGTAAAGTGTATACTACATATGGATGCTTACTTATATGCCTGGAGACCTAGAGACCACCCAGTTATCATGTACTTGGCCCAAGGTTTGTGTGTGTGTGTGTGTGTGTGTGTGTGTGTGTGTGTGTGTGTGTGTGTGTGTGTGTGTGTGTGTGTGTGTTTGTGCTTGTAATTTAATTAAACACAGCTCTGTTTAGAAATATGTGCTGGGAGCTATAAACTGAAATAATTACGGTATTAATTCAACATTTTGAAACAGGGCCCCTCTACACGACAGGGTCATACCATTAGATACTAGTATAATTTTGGGGACCCTGGGGTACTGGGCTCTTAGGGCAGTTGCTTGCTTTTCTCCAGCCTTGACCAGATAAAGGAAGAACTCTGAGTGAAAGGTCAGAAAAGTTCACCTCTTAGCCCTTTTGGTCATGGTTATACTGATGTCACTGTCAATGATATTGTGCTATTTATTTTGTACTTGGACCAATCCATGTCCGACAATTTTTCTGAAACAGGCAATCTGACAATCATGCCCACTTTACAGATTGTTAGACAGATTGGCGTTGTTTACAGAGGTGTAAAAGTATGCAGGATTGAACCTCCCTTTTTTCCTACCGTCACACCTACTGCCGTAACCTTTAGTGTGAAGAAAGAAGTGCAACACCATGAATGCCTTCTCATTTCCATGTTTTATTGTTAATGTGGCAAGCAGCTGGATTCGTAAGATCACAAAATCACAAAATCACGATATCACGCGAGAATCTATCTTGCTAGGCTATTTCAGTGTCTTTTGAGTACTGGCAGCTACGTGGATTGACACTACATGACACAGCGAGAAGGCACTGTATGGCAAACTTTTTGTTTGGCAACTCTCATCCTGCAGCGATCCAGTTTTGCAAACAGACACCAGCCCGCACCCACAGAGCTCAGTACTGGAACCTACCCATTACTTGCAATTACCTCCAAATCAAATCCAGACCTGACCCGTGACCTGCGCTACACAACACAGTCATATTTTTACTTGCACACTTAGAAGTGTAACATGAAGAAACATAAATTAAAATCCTGATTAACCAATTGGCTGAATCAATCACCAACTGTTGCTACTCACTATACTGCTGCTGCGTTCACACAGCCAGCTGGGTACCAATGTCAATTAAACCCTGAGCTAGTTCGCTGAATCCATCTCAGCGTCCTCCTGCTTTTGGCACTCACAGTTGTGTTATTGGACAAATTGCTTTCACAAGAAAAAAATCCTTGGCGACTGATTAGGCTTGATCATTTTTAGTTCATTTAGATTTTAAAAATAGCCAGCCTCATTTTCATTTTTGAAGTTCTCCAGTAAAACCTGCATTCAGTTCATTTTTACCCATGCCTTTACCCGTGAATTTATATAGATATATTTCTTACCCGGTTTTTGCAGGCTATGTATTTCTGTCACTGTTGATGGAGCTAGCCTCAGTTTCCCCTGCTATGGTGCTTAGCAGGTCCAATCACGTCCTGGACCTATCTTTACTGGATGCACTGAGATGAAATTGATATTGATCTTCTGGTTTTATGTTGGGTAAGACGGAGAACAAACACATTTCCCAAAATGTCAGACTTTTAATCTCACCACAAGAGAGAGAAAGACAAGCACATTTTCAAAGCCAAAGTAAGACAGAGACTTGATTGACATTTACAGGACCTAAGGGCTGCGGAGTAAAACACAATGTTCCACATTTGCCCTTGACTTTATCAAAGCGGTGTACCTGTGGAGTGAACAGACCATGATAACAGCTGAAACTGGATCTCTGCAACATGCTGTGCTGAGGTTGACCCTATGAAAGAACCTTTATCATATTTACTGGGGTCTGTTCTTTTTATTCAAGGGCAAAAAGTTTATAGTGGAGGGAAAGCAGAGAAAAGAATAATTCAGTTTTTTGCTTATATTGCTTTACTAACATTAGTGCTATGAATGCAAGGATTATCGTGATGGAGAATTTGCTCTGCTGTTCTATATATTTATTGCCTGTGTTTTGGTTGGTTTTGTTACAGGTGCAGTATTAGCAGGTCCACTCACTCCAACCCTCAAAGCCCAAAGTGCTATTTTCATGATTGTGACAGCATGTTTTCCATATTAAGAGTTTATATGTTTCCACCTAGGACCAATGTCCTAACTAGCTATGAAAAATTCCATGTAGCATATTCATCAAAATATTCCTTGCTCTGGAAATAACGTACATCTATGCACCACTGCTTACCTAGTGCGTAACCAAGGCGACAAAAGTAGCATAGCAGTAATGCAGTATAAACGTTAAGGGCCATTTCAGACCAAATCATCCTCTGCAGCAAAAACACCCCTCCTCCTATTCATTTTAATTGGGGTAGTGTGTTTAGGCTGGGGTGGTGGAGGCCGCAGGGGAGGCTGGGGGGAAAAACAGCGGCAGAGAAGTTCAAGCAGAATCCACTTTTGGAGAAGCGCAACCCAGTGTCCTGCTGTGTTGGCCAATCCGGCGATCCAACCGGTCAAACCGCTGTCCGCATGAAATATGACAAAATAGACCAAACTATGATACGCTCCTAACTGTATTTCTTTCGCGTACCCAGTTTCAGCATCTGGCTTATAGTCTATGCTGCAAAATAGCCATACCAAGAAGTTTCCTTTGGTTTGTGTCCGTTAGTTTGAATGAGAGAGACAGCCAGTCAATCAGAGAAATGACTCCTCTACCATGTCAAAATGAGATGGGGGTAGGCCTCTGAGGTTTTGCTGAATTTTTAAGGGGCCCCAAGCCTCCAAAGTTTGGAAAGCTCTGTCCCTATACTGAATTGAACAGCTTTAGTAATCCTTCCTCCCCTTTTTAAAACTGCAGCAGTAATGGATTATCTGTGTTTGGGCTTATACTGCCAGGAGGAGAGCACTACATAAAGTCCTGGTTAAAGTATAATTCTGGACTATCACAATTTGGTCCAGTGACTAGTAATAATTGTTTTAACCAAGGTAATTGCCCACTCACATGCACAAAGGTAGCAGCTTTCACAGAAATGAATGGGATGCCAACTAGAAAGACGATATCCAGTTCTCTTAATACATACATGCAGTTTGCAGACCAACTCCCTAGTTCAACTTAATAATAATAATAAAATGGACTGCATTTATACAATGCTTTTATTTACTTTACAATTTGTCTCTTCACCCATACATACACACTCACTGAGGCCATGTAGCTACCATACAAGGCTCTAGCCTAATCATAGGGAGCAATGGGGGGTTGTTCGGGACACTTTGGGATCATCTTGCCTTGTTGGACTTTGATGTCGTGAATGTGTTCCCAGATCTCAGAAATTACTTTGGTGTGTTCAGTGTTGTCATAACTGATAGAAATCATTGACAAAACAAGTGAGAGTTTATTACTGTAATTAGACAAGTCCCAGACCTGTGTTTGCAGAAGATTCATAATTTGAAACAACTGATTTGGTATGTGGGACTTAGGTTTGGATAGAAACTTTAAATCTCTATAACCTACTGCATTGCTTTAACAGGCCAGACTTAATTCAACATCAGTCCTAACCCCAAACCTTTTGTTCAGTATTCTAACCTTGTATCTATGCTCCATGTGTTCATACTGTTAACAAGTCACCCTTTAATTCCTTTTGAATTTAGAGACTTGTGTGATATGTAGGAAGAATCCCCCCCCCGATGCATTGTGGTTCTTCAGAGCTCTCAACCATTTGGTCTGACAAAAAGCATACAAATAAAAAAACTGAAAACGTGTTTTCCCTGTGTGTCTGCAGGGTGTCATGGAATAGATCTGGACTCCACATCCTTCAGCCCAGAGCGTTTGACCAAGGCCAGTACCAGTGCACAGCTACCAACGAACATGGCTATGACTCAGAGACGTCTCAGATACTGGTGGCAGGTGTGTCCTTTGTTTTAGTGTCATTATTATGCACATCATTTATAATTAAAATTTTTAATAGTCACCATAATATAATTTAAATAAATCTGAAATAAAATAAATGAATAAGGGTAATCCTGAAATCTGATTGGCCACTCATTATTCCTACCTCTTCCACTGACACTGTCTTTTAGAGTTGGGCTCTGTTTTAAAGCTGATATCATATAAACCTAGATGATCCAACTCATCCATTTGTGCCAACCATGTCATGCTAGCATTTTAGCACAGGGGCTAAATAACACTCCAAACTTTGGTGATGGAAAAACTGGCATTTTCTATTTTCAAAGGGATCCTTTAACCTCTGACCTCAAGATATCTAAATGAAACCCCATGCAGTTTTTGGTAATTAAATATGTCTGCATAACATAAACAGTATTGGAATTGCCTAAATTTGGAATGACTGGAAAGCTGAGACACATACTTCATGCTCCTTCATAAATCAGTGCCCCACTTGTGCCACCCCAGTAAAAAATTTTGAATTTCAGAGTTTGCATGCCAGCCGTGAACAGCCCAGTTGGTTAACACTGGAAGAAAGTGCACAACATTTGGTGACAAACCTCCAAACAGCTCTGAGAGAATAAGCACCCCCCCGACAAAACACTCACTACGGTGTGTGTGACAGAAAAATAAATCATATCAGTTCAACATCTTAAGATATGAGTGCAAAGTATTGTTCTTGCAAGATCACAAGATCATGCAAGACTCCATCTTTTAGGCTTCAGTCTACGTGTTTGTGGCCAGTACAGTGGTACCTGAACAGTCAGCGTCCTGAGGAGGTACTATCAGCTACAGTTCAGTCACTTTACATGTAGATGGCAGGCAGGGAAATAAAGTAATGAATCAATGAATAAAAAACAGGACAAGTAAAGCAGTCAATAAATATGAAATAGAACCTTTAAGATGAACATTTAAGATGATCAGCAGGTATAATGTTTACCCCAGTTACCATCTTAGCACTCAACAAAGTACAGCTGAGGCTGATGGGAATGCTGTTAGTTTTGCAGGTATTTAGCCATAAAACAAAGTACTGGACAAATTGACAGTTAGTTACCGTGAATGTAAATTTCAGGTCAGTCCATCCAAAGGTTTTTTAGATATTTTAAAGTAGTGGAATGCCATTTCTGCCATCACACTGCTAATGTGGCAAAATAATATGCACATTCACAGCTTTTTGGGGTTTAATGGAAGCTTCATTTTAGATGATAGCTCAATTTTGACCATTATGATTCTGAAAATTAAATTTTTCAGCTCAATATTGCAACAAACTTAAAGGCTAAACTACAGTATGTGGTTCCTTCCTTCTATCATTGTATATGTGTTTCCAAGATATGTTCTTTATTATATAACAAGGATTAGCATCAGTAACTTTCTAAAATATATGGACAAGCAAGATTTCTGCAAAAGAGATGATTTATTACTGCACGAGTGAGTGATACTCTTTCTCTTTGTGTGAAACTTCAGAGCCACCAGCCATCGCGGTGTCATGGAGGAATGTTTCAGACAGTGGGGTTGTGTTTGGGCATAGCTTGAGGGCCGTGGTCGGGGGACGAGTCGACGTTCGCCTGGGCAGCAACCTCACTCTGGACTGCCCCGTCACTGGTAGGTCACAGCACTGTATGCCACAAAGAATGTTTCCTTTAAAGGGCCAGTTCACCAAAATTAGAAGAATTATACTTTCTCATTGTTTGTACTGGAATGAATTACATTTATGAAGCACTTCTATCTAGAGTACTAAAATGTGCCTCTTACTCACCCATACACTCAAACGAGCCAGCGAGCAACATGCAAGGTGCTTGCCCAAATATCAGGAGCAATTTGGGTGTTCAGTGTCAATGACATCAAGTATAGTGGTATCACTATTATTTCCACTCGTTTTAAAGTAGAGGCCTAGGCTACTTTATGCAAATCAGGGGTGTTAAGCTGCGCTACTCGCCACTTCTGGAAACTCCTGAAAAACTTTTAAACTAAAACTCAATCTAAAATGAAGACAGATTCTGCAACTGTGTGGCTTATTTTTGCCAAAAATGTTGTCAGAAACACATTTCTGTGAACTATTTTAACAGTATAAGTTTCCAAACGACCTGCCATGTCAGTTCATCCAATCAGGTGCAGCCAGGAAGTGTGTGTGCGGTTGTAGGTGGGTGTACCCTTTTGTTGGTCAGTATGACTACCAGTGTTGGGAGTAACGGTGTTTAAGTATAACGGCGTTACTAACGGAGTAATCTAATTAATTAATTTTGCCATCGTTGCAACGCCGTTACCGTTACTGAGAATGTAAAGTGGCGCGTTACTTGCGTTCCTACAATGTGGTGAATGAAGCGCAGTCAGGCTTTCTGACAGACACACATCAGCTGCCGGGAGAGGGCAGGGTGGTGATGATGACACCGTTGCAAATGCAATGATGATTGGCTGGGTGGGTGGATGCCCTGCTCACGCTGTCTTTATTTTCAATATTTCTTTTTTATATATTTTTATTTCTATGCATTTTGCCGGCTGCAATCTATTGAGTTCAAATAAATACCAAATGTTCTGAAATACTGTATATAGTGTTTTTATTCTTCATTCAGTTATCATAAACATATTTTACGTCACAGAAGATGTTATAGAATGTAATAGCGTTATAGGACATAAAAAATAACGTCACAGTTACTTTGCTGAGTAACTAATTACTTTTACAATGTGGTAACTGAGTTACTAACTCAATTACTTTTTGGGAGAAGTAATTTGTAACTATAACTAATTACTTTTTTAAAGTAAGATGCCCAACACTGATGACTACAAGCGTCCTATGCTGGTAAGCTGCACGATCCCTCGCACCTAAAAACGCCCCTGTGGACACGTACCCTTAGCTGTGATAGACCACAAGCATATCAAACGCAGTTTTTTTAACTGAACGTCTCATGCAACAGACACTCTAATTTTAATCTATTCAGCTCTCTATACCGGCTCAACGTAACCACACTCGGGTGTAACCACGACCTGAAGCGTTACTTATGCTTCAGGTATGTTTTTTTGTTAATACGTGCGTAAAAGCAAGGTTGATACCCAATAAAAAGGCACTGAATCAATATATTTATCTGTATTTTGTAACCTAGGCTATTTGGGGTTAACTACAATTCACTTTATGAAAATACGCAGACGTGTGGATTAAAAGATATATAACAAGGTTGTGAATGTTATATGAACAAACCCCTCTCTAAAAACCTTCAGAATACAGATAGGAATAAAACTGGAGTGATTGGTTTATATAAGTGGAGATTTGTAAAATTCATACATTTTGCAAGACACTACCGCCGGTGAATAAGGTATGAAAAAGGGGCAAGAAAGCAGAGAGGTTTCTGAGAAATCTGCAGTCACAATTAGACAAAGTGTAGAGTAAAATAAACACAGGTGCAATCTGCAACTACAGTGCTCGATGCGACTAAATCCTACAATCTTGTCCAATAAGTAGGAACTCAGTCATTTAAAAAAAGTGTTTGTTTTTTTTAATCCCTCTTAGACACAATGTTGTTAAGCCCTTATTCCCTATTCTTCTTCCTACGTCCGCCAGGCGTTCCTCAGCCCAACGTGACGTGGCACAGGAAGAATGGACCTTTAGATGCTGGTGCTGTTTCCTTGCAATCTGGCTCACTGTGGATCAGAAATGTGTCTCTGCACAACCAGGGCACCTACTCCTGCACCGCCACAAACGCCATAGGAAACTCCACTGCCTCGACTGTCCTGCAGGTCTATGGTGGGTTAATGCACCAGTTGCGCATAACTTCTCATGGCTGGCAGTCTTCATCTCTAAATTCCTTATGTGAATGTGCGTGCATGTATACAGGTCCATACCCTGCTGGAGGGAGCAGGGTGGTCCCAGTGTCACAGGAGCTGAACAAGAGAAGGGTCCTTATGGCATCACGTCGTGGAACGAGTGTGTTTATCAGACCCGGAGACAATCTACGTATAGGTACGCACCCTGGGAACGTAAAGCTTTATCGACAGGCTATTCAAATGTCAACATTTACATTCAGTCTGCTTTTGCCTTTCAACAGGTTGTCCAGTAGTTCCTGACCACAAACTGCCAGTGCGTTGGGACTTTAACAACCAGACCCTGAAGGAAATTTTAGTTGTTGCCCAGACCCGGAGTCCTGGTCTGGATCAGGGTCTGCAGTACAGGATGCTGGTGGGAGGCCGCGTCCTTGAGGTGAACACACTCCAGGAGAAGTTCTCGGGCCGGTACAGATGTCAGACCCTCATCAACAGCACCAGACAAGTACTGTCTGCCTGGATATTCATTCATGCTGAAGGTGAGCATTACCTTCATCTACATGCTTATGTGTGTATATATAAACCTGAAATACAGTATGAATTATAGTACAATTAGTTGTTTATGCATATTCACAATGATGCATTAAGAAAGTTGAATGTAACATAGAATATAAACTCAAGATACATTTTCTATCTGCTCCAAAAGAGTAATAGGTGGCCCGTTGACCATTTTGTTATGCATAATGTTTTATGAATCAAAGGCGGAACCTAACAGCAGGCAGGTTGGTGGAAATCAAGTCTTTTATTCTTTACAAGACGATAGAAAAGGTGAGCTGGTGGCTGGCTGACATTGGGGCTGAGGTGAGGGAAAGTATCGAAGGGTGAAGGCTTGTAGCGGGGGAAAACTGGGGAATGAGAGCTGGCAGCTGGCTTGGCTAACTGGTGTGGAGAGCTGGCAGACAGGTCGTCCTGGAGAACTAGTGTAAGTAACTCTGGCAGGCAAACAGAGGCAAACAAAGTAACAAGCTGGTAGAAAAACTGGCTAACTAGACTTTTGTGCTGAGCTGAAGCGAGGCACATTAACATAATAAGTGTGGCACAACAATCCGGCAGGGACTGGATGTCACAAGGTTCTTATAGTGGTTGAGGTAAAGACTTACATTATCCCAAATGTTTCCAACAATGTTCAAACTCAGAGATATCTGCCATTTTATTCAAGTCAGTGGCGTCATATCCCCTTTGTTCATGCGTCAGCGTTGTGGTTGTCTGCCAGAAGCTGTCATACATTGACTTTTTATCCAGTTTTTCTTAAGATATAGCCATCATATGAGACCCATTTTTATTTTTAAATGTAGGATATATTGTAACTTGCTACAGAATAATATGAAAATACATCTGGTAATACAATAATGGTAGTACAATAATCTGGTATTGATATCTGTGCTATGATCAAGTAAATGTGATTTACTAGTTCAGTAAAAATAATCCTATTTATGACTCCAGCAATATGCGACATCTATCACACTTAGGGACAACATCATTATAAATCCTTGAAAGCAGAGATAGACAACACAGAATGACATCCCACTGACTTTTTATGTTATGTGAAGAGGCTGGATGTGGTGAATGGATAACATCATATAAATGCAAGACCATACGTTTAATGGAGGGAATGGAGTTAAGAAGGAGTCAATAGGTTAGGCCTCAGAGATTAGGAAAATGGGAGCTAAGGTTAGGCCAATGTTTTTTGTTAAACCTTCCACAGAGTAACACAGTACATCATTGTATTCAGGTTTTCTTTTGCATTATACAGTGCGTCCATTAACTGACTCAGCTTTGTTTCAGACAGCTTCTTACCTCTACGCTGGGCATTTCAAAATCTGAAATTAACAATGGATTATCTGTGCAGAAAGCTCTTTGTTTCCTAAGGTGTTGAATGCTGAAATCTTCTTTTTGCTGGTTGTTTCCTCCTAACCCTTTGCATCTGAGCACTTTACATTTGGGTCGGCAGAGTTTGGCTGGCGTTTTGGAGACTGGACTGCATGTAGCGCTTCCTGTGGGAACAGAGGGACTTGGCTGCGAAGGATTTGGTGTGTCTCTCTGGATGGAAAGGACGTGCAGCCCACCATGTGTCAGAACATACCGAAACCCATCACTTCACCAGTTCCCTGCAATAGACAGGACTGCCCCCCCAGGTACACTTTTAACTTTAAACATCAGGGTGTCATCAGGGTGTCATCAGATTGGGTCAGATACAGAGGCAGAGTATGGGAGAGCAAGGTAGAGGGTAAAATAAAATAAAAAACCATGCTGACACTAATACAGTTACTAATTAGCTGTTAAAAACTGTAGTCAGTAATCCAATGCTAACAATATTAAAATAATGTAACTTGATTACTTTCCATTGCGTTTGGATTACCTCAACAGCAAATATGCAAATAAAGACAAGAGAAAAGACGTATCGATAAGATGACTATTTTGTATTCTGTAAGACAGAATGATGTAACCTTAGAAAAGAAGGTGGAGTATTTTTAAAGAACAACTTGCTTTTCATGAAGCAAATTCAGGAACAATGCTAACTTTTGTGGTGCCCTTCAAAGAATAGCCATCCCTGCAGCACTCTATAGGGATAGAGAAAATAAATAGATTATAAAATAAACATGCAGTCAAACAGAATTGCAGAATTGGTCGAGTCTTCACTTCACAGTCTTTTACACTGCCTTTGATGAGGCAAAAACACAGATAGGTCAGGCTGCTAATGAATTCATGAAGAGCTGCCAGATCACAACAGAAGTGGAACTCTCAGCAGAATTTTCTCACCCTGAGCCCCCTGCTGTTTCCAGCTCCACCAGCCTGCCTTTATCCATCACACAAGCCATCAGTCAGGCCCCCCTTTGCTGCCACACACTGAGCCAGCTTCACTCACTAATGCAACACAAATGACCCACTATTAGTGCGGCTCAAGCCAGATTTGTGGTGCTGCAGGCTGAAAGACACCAGATTGTCATAGTTTCAGATTCTTTTTTAAATTCTGAAACCATGCGATCTTTGAAGAGGGAGATGTTGCAGAGTAGTAATAGTTACACATTTTGTGTGTGGAGTTATGTTGCTTTATGATAAATCATGTATGATTATTGTGCAGTAAGATAGAGAAGGAACTGGCATGGGCTGGAAGATCTTACAGTCTGACTTGGAGCAGTAGGTAGCACACTGTGGTAAACTGCTTGGTCTGTGTTTTCTGGCTATTACATCAAGCCACATCAAGAAAACAGCCACACACATAGCCAGGCACACAGTCAAAGAATCTGACATGTCAGAAGCACACCCCTTTAAAATCAAACCATTTGGGTTCTTGCACTGGTATTATGTAAATACACCAGCAGATTCAGAGTTAAGATCCAGTTATTAAAGATGTCTACCATATATCTTTTTCTTTCACTGGCCTCTGAGACTGGGGAATGAGTCACTGGGCTGTCGGAGATACTGCCATCTTGGAGCCTTATACATATGTATAAGTATCTGTTGCTATGGCAATGGCTGCGCATGTAGATCGAGCGGCTGATAGCTCCTTCAAACTTACATTTTTGATTAAGACATTGTAGAACGACGTGTGATTGATGTTTGTTGATTGGATTCATGAGATTGTGACTATGGCAATGGTTGCACATCGAGATGCTGCGGCTGGTAGGCTAGCCCCTTCAAACTTTAATATGTTTTCAGCTTTATTGCTGAAACACGTATCAGAAATAGCCTACACTGACAGAAACACTCATTGGAAAAAGAAAGTGTGGGGTTTAGATTTAAGAACAGCAGACTCTGAGACAATCCACCCAGCAATATAGTGGGACCAACCCATCAACCGCTGGTGCTGTGGCCCCAGGAGGAGAGGAAGAGAGGTATATATGAGCCTCGTGGCCCAGCTTGGACTTAAGGCTGCTCCTGGCTAATGTCGAGTCTGGATGAAATAGGACTCAGGCTGGCCAGGCCCACATCTCTATCGACATGCCAGATCAAGTACACGACGGGTGGACCACATTCCGAGTCAGACTCTGTGTTTCCATCGATGATGCTTGGTGCTCAAATGCACTCAAAGTGGAAGGACACTTTGGAAGGAAGATGAAACCATATTATGATTGACTCGCTTGTTGCTGCTGTTTACATTCAACCAGATGCAAAATCAAAAGATGACCTGCAGAATTATTTCCTGGGTGTAAACGTGTATGTATATATGTATATAAAGAACTGTATATATTGATTTATTTTATTTTATTCAGTTATTTTATGAATTTTTCTTTTTTTTTCTATGTGTGCAGCATGAAGGACCTGCAAACATTTATTTTGTTATACAACCTTGGGTTGTATACTAATAAATACATTTCCTACATTGGTTGGATTGGCCATCTGGACATTGGGCAAATTCCAGAAGGGCTGCCCGACAATGCGCTGCTTGGGCCGCTCAGAATGGGTCATGGGTCCGCTCTGTGAGCAGCTTGAGCAGTACATTACAGAAAAACAAGAGAGATACGCCATCGGCCCACATCTTCCCCCTCAAAATCCTTAATAAAGTTCTGTTACTCTGTTAGCGGAGGTTTTACAGCTGAAGCCATTAGACAGAAGACATTAGGGAGATACGAAAGGTTTGAGTTTGACTGGCTGGTTATTTAGCTGTAACTCTAAACATGTTCAACTTTTCATGTAGTCAATTCGCTCATCAAGGTCACTTTTTGTGAACCGACCAATCACAGCCTGAATGGGGTGGGACTTAAAAAAAGGTTGATGTGCTACAGTAAACTTTCTGATTATGATTCTGATTATTCACAAGTTAGTACTAAACAAATTAGAGACTGACCACCAAAGCTAATATAGCTAATATACTATTAGCTAAAATGTAACGGGCGGTCCCAACCTTGTCATTCAGACTTCATTATTGTCATTTGCCTTAGGCTGATGAGGAGGTTTGTTTACAACCTGTCTGATGTGTAGTAGGCCTGATATTGTCATTTTTAGAATGTTCAAAAAAGACTATCATTATTACTATATAGAGTATGTCGTATTTCAGATGGTCTGTGTCAGAGTGGTCAAAGTGCTCGGCCTCGTGTGGCAGTGGCTGGAAACAGAGGCAGGTCTCATGTCAGCAGCTGGATGCCAGAGGTGCAAAGAGGACTCTGACAGCCGCTGCCTGTGAGAGGATGAGCCGGCCAGCGGACACAGAGCAGTGCACCGCTAATAACTGCCCGACCTGGGTCACCAGTCCGTGGGGAAAGGTACATTCAAACACTGAAGTGAACACGTGTGCATGTTACTGTGTGTGTGATTGCACCCATCCTCTTCACCAGGGCCGCCCATAACAGGAAAAAGGGGAACAGTAGCTAGGGGGGCCCATGGAGGCCGACATTAATCATCTTCTTCTTAAATTTAAGCACTGAATTTTATTTAGAACCAAAATACCTATTACTTACTAAAGTTCCAGTGTGTAACATTGGGGAGGATCTATTGTCAGAAATGGAATATAATATTCATAGGTATCCATTTCTATAGGGTATAGTCACTCCAAATTCAGTCACAGCAGCAACCTGACCCAGGGAAGGAGACTTACTATAAAAAGAAAGTTTTACTGATTTTGATTGACTATTTACTCTTGATTTTTTTTGTCAATGTTGTGGCCATATTGTGTATGCTAATTGTCTATGCTAATAATTTGAAGCGTATTATGTGTGGAGCACTGGACCCAACTAATTTCCTTGTGTGGGATAGTAAAGTAGATCTAAATCAGAACTGAATATGTGTGCTATAACTATAATATATAAACTCTATACATTTCAGTGTTCAGGAAGGTGTTTAGGCCCCGCCACCACTGTACAGAAGAGATCTGTCACCTGCCAACACACCAATGGCTCCTCGTACACAGACTGTGCACTGTGGGACAGGTATACACACACTGAAACACTTAAAATACTATTCCTGTACATCAGGTCTACATTCTCACAAAGCTGCTTATTAAATGACTGTAGTGGTAGTAATACTGTACATCTGAATTAATGTACACTCAGTGGCCACATTATTGGGTACACCTGTAAAATCTAATGCAATCCAATCCAACAGCTGAATCACAAACCACTTCAGGGGGTAACAATATTAGTAGCACATTTCAATATAATGCAGTCGACCATAACACCACCACTAACTACAACCTCAGCAACAAACATATAACATATACATATAACATAAGAATATAAGAATTAACAGTTAAAAGTTTGAACAAAAACTATCCATTAACATCATAACTTCAAGTGGACAGCAACTAAATAAAACTCACCAACAGTTCCATGGATGGATGGAACTGTTGTTCAGTAAAAAACAGTTCCAGGAATTAACTCCCCCTAAAATTGCTGAAACTGTCATTTCATTTCTGTTTGTTTATGGGTTAAACTAGGGATCAGCAACCTTAGACACACATGCCAACATGGGCATGCGGTAGCTTAACCCAGCAATTCTCAAACTTTTGTCAATAACTATATATTATATTTTTTTTAGCCAAGTACCCCCTGACCAACACAAAACAAAGAAAGAGATATAATACATATACAACACAGTGTTATGAATGTGATTGGATTTGTTGAAGTTAATGATTTGAAAATATTATGTAGTATATCAAACTTACAGTAACATTTTATTTAACTTAAAGGATAGTTATCTTAGGAGTGATGTATGACTGATAATTACTGTATTTACTTTGATGGCAATGAGCTGATCAGTTGGTAGGCAGGCTGTTAATACACGTTTATCTGACCCTCTGAACTGACCCTGATCCATAGAAGGTTAGCATATACTGTACCATGGTTATTATAGTTGAAGGTGAGACAGCTTTGAGATAGCAGAAAGCCCACCGCTAATCACTAATCTTGTTTTTAATTGGACAAAAATCACACGTAAAACAAAATCTGGTCTTTCTAACTCTGTCCAGGTTCCAGATTTATGGGGGTTTCAGGTTGCATCCTTCACAATAAACCTGCTTTGTGACACAGGTCCTAGGAGATCTATGGCAATATGTAGCACTAAAGGCAAAGATAAAGCTACTCTCTTTCAGGCCTGCGTCGGTACGCGACTGTTCCTCGGACCTGTGTGATGTCGAGTGGCGCCCTGGTGCGTGGCGGGCATGCACAGTAGTCTGCGGGAGTGGCTTTCAGTCCCGCAGGGTGGACTGTGTTCACCGCAAGAGTGGCAGGACTCTGGCTGACCAGCACTGTGCCTGGCTCCAACGGCCCTCCACCTGGCAGCACTGCAACACCGCCTCTTGTGGGAGTAAGTCTTGTATATATAAATATGACATTGGTCAAGAAATGTTTTTTGCTCTTAAAGAAATGATGTAGCAGTGGTGTAGTTTATAAGCAATATTTCATTTGTAGAAGAATGTCCTTGAAAGAAAATTTCTAAATCTTACTGACTGAAATCAATTTAAACCCAAGTAAATACTAAACTTTTGGAAGCTTTGTTTACAGTGCGCTGAATAAAAAACTAGCAATTATGTTTAACTAGCAATTCATAAGAATGTATTAATTGGAAGTATACCAATTAATAGATAGATAAAGTACAAATTATGCAGAATAGCACCTTCCAGAGTGTTACATTATTCCATTACTGATGCCTTAACATATAAGCAGCATTTAAAAAAAAACAAAAATGTATTAAAAGAAATAAAATAAACGTAGTGCAGTAAAAATGCTTAAGTAAAGTACAATTACTTTATAGAGTATAAATTTGTTGAGTACTTGAGTAAATGTACTTAATTACCCTCCACAACTGACTGGTCTGATGAGCAGTTCATGTCAGAGAAGCAGAAGGTAAATGACTGCATCCAAGCAAGGTTATTAAAGTTCACTAAAACTTTCTGTGAAAAACATATTAGTTATTATAATAATAAAAACTAGACTAGGAAAAAAACAATATTATATAGAACTGAAACAATATTGTGTAGTTACTAAAATGTTTTCCTTGCCCCTGTCGCCAAGTGCTTGCTCATGGTGGTACTGTTGGGTCTCTGTAAATAATGTTATTAGGAGTTCGGTCTAGACCTGCTCTATTTGAAAAGTGTCCTGAGATAACTTCTGTTATGATTTGGCGCTATACAAATAAAATTGAATTGAATTGAATTAAAATAACTAAAATAAAATGGAAATATATTTAGTTGTTTAGTCTTTGTCAGTTTGGCTTAATGTATCAACACAACCTGCAGTACAGAGAATGGGTTGGTCGTATTATAATAAAACTAAGTGAAAACTAAATATATACTAAAACTTTTTTAACTTTTACTTCCTGAAACTTTCACTATACATGACACAGATAACCTGTGAAAAAATCAGTCAAATCAATCCTACTGGTCTTAATGGCAATAATCTACCGACCAATCAGAGCCAAGAAAGACAGAATGATATTTTGGGTTGAAGGCTTGAAGATAGTTGATTGTTGAGTCTCATTCTCAGGACCAAAAGTGTCCATTTGATGACCTGGGACGGAGATGCCTCAAACATCTCTCTTCCTTGTCTCTGATACATGAGACAATGATTGGTTGTTTTTGTTCAGGCCCAGTGGATTCATACAAATGCCATTAGGAACACTAGGAGGAACCAGAGGAACCTGATTGTTTCACAGATAATCTGTCTCATGTTCTACTGTCAGGATATAGTGAAAGTTTCAGCAAATATGACAAGAGTTAAAGTTACCTACTGCAGCTTTAAACAATACAAACTAAACTCAGAAAAGACACTAACTAACTAACTAAACTAAACACTAAACAAAACTAAAAACTAATGACAAATACTAAACTATTATAACTCATCCGTGCTTCCAGGGCGATCAGCTACCTCCTTCATCAGTAACACTTTCAATCAGGTAAAGGGCAAACCACTAAATCTGCCTTTTAATTAGTAGTTTTTGTTGTTTGGTGATTACGTGAAGTGTTTTGTGCCTATATAGGTGAATGCAAGGACACCACCCAGTACTGCAGCGTGGTGAAGAGGCTGAAGCTGTGCTATGTGGATATGTACAAACACAGATGCTGTGGGTCGTGTTCACAGGATGCTGACTCCACCTAGTGGCAGTGAGCGGTTATAACCACATTACATTTTGTTTATGTACATGAGACTGAACAAAGACTGAAAGGACATCATCTGTGGGTGGATGCTTCAAGAACTGCAGACGTGTGAATGGGACAAGCTTCAGTCAAATTCTTTCACTCCCTAAAAGGAAACTGAATGGAGCCACAAAAGGCTGGAAGGATGAGGGGGCTTTATTTTATGATCTGGACCCAACCTCCTAATATGAAGTGTTCACTAAGTGGATCAAATGGAGTTTTCTGACTTTCCTGCAAACATTTTGTGTGACAAAAATGAATATGGTGATGTTGCTTACTGTAGAATGCAGACCACTGCTCTCCTGTAGAAAAGACTTAGACTGAGCTACTGGTTTGCCAGTATTGACCTTTATTAGATATGAGCCAGTCATATCATCCACTGCTGATATAAGTGAGGTTTTGCAAGTACATAAAAACAGCCTAGAGAACTTGCAATCAGTCTTTTCTTTCTTTAAACAGTATTTATTTGTGTGAATGTTCAAAAGTGTTTTCATAAAATAATTCACCTAAACATATTTAAAGGAAATTCTGTTTCATTACAACTTGGGTCACATTTTCATAGTTATGAACATCATTTCTACTCACTGTATTAACTGCTGGGATCTGGCAACATTGCTAAAAGTCAGACGATCAATTCAGTTCAATTTTATTTGTATAGCGCCAATTCATAACAGAAGTTATCTCAGGACACTTTTCAAATAGAGCAGGTCTAGACCGAACTCTTTATAACATTATTTACAGAGACCCAACAGTACCACCATGAGCAAGACCTTGGCGACAAGGGCAAGGAAAAACTGCCTGTTAAAAGGCAGAAACCTAGGACAGATCCTTCGGCTCTAGGTGGGTGGTCGTCTGTCTTGACCAGTTGGGGTGAAAGAGAGAGACAGATAGACAGACAGACAGACAGACAGACAGACAGACAGACAGACAGACAGGTGCACAGCAACAACAGTAGCAACAACTACGCTAATAGTAGTGACTGATGATGATGAACATGACAACAGCAATGATGGGGGACAATGAGCAGTGACAACAGCAACAACAGTAACCGTAGCTATAATAATACTTTATAATAATAATAACACTAATATCAGTGATATTGGCAATTGTAGTCAAGCAGGACCATGGCAGGAGGCTCCACCAGGATCCATGAGAACCTGCGAGACAAGAAAACACAAGAACTCCGGGGAAGAAGTGAAGTTAGTAACATGCATTAATGGGACATGAATGAGTGCAGAAAGAGAGAGAGAGGAAGAGAGGAGCTCAGTGCATCATGGGAAATCCCCCGATAGTCTAGGCCTATAGCAGCATAACTAAGGGATGGTTCAGGACTCACCTGATCTAGCCCTAACTATAAGCTTTGTCAAAGAGGACTGTCTCTTAAATGTGGAGAGGGTGTCTGCCTCCTGAACCACAACTGGAAGCTGGTTCCACAGGAGAGGATCTTTGTAACTGAAGGCTCTGGCTCCTGTTCTACTTTTAGAGACTATAGGAACCACAAGTAGCCCAGCATTCAGAGAACGTAGTGTTCTAGTGGGGTAATAGGGTACTATGAGCTCTTTAAGATATGAAGGGGCCTGACCATGAAGAGCTTTATAGGTGAGGAGGAGGATTTTAAATTCTAAATTTTACAGTGCAGAGAAGCTAGTAAAGGAGAGATGTGATCTCTTTTTCTAGTTCCTGTCAGTACTCGTGCTGCAGCGTTTTGAATTTATTGGAGCGTTTTAATGGACTTATTGGGGCAACCTGATAATAAAGAGTTGCAGTAATCCAGCCTTGAAGTAACAAATGCATGGATTAGTTTTTCTGCATCTGTCTGTGATAGGATGTGTCTAATTTTTGTAATATTACGTAAATGAAAGAAGGCAGTCCTAGAGGTTTGCTTTATGTGGGAATTAAATGACAAATCCTGATCAAAGATAACTCCAAGATTCCTGACAGTGGTGCTAGAGGCCAAGGTAATGCCATCTAGAGTAACTATATCTTTAGACAGTGAGTCTCTAAGGTTTTTGGGGCCAAGTACAAGAATTTTGTTTTTTTCTGAGTTTAACATAAGAAAATTGCAGCTCATCCAGGATTTTATGTCCTTAAGACATGTTTGTAATTTAGATAATTGATTAATTTCATCGGGCTTGATCGATAGATATAACTGCGTATCATCTGCATAACAGTGAAAGTTAATGGAGTGATTCCTAATAATGTTGCCTAAAGGGAGTCTATATAAAGTATATAGTATTGGTCCAAGTACAGAACTTTGAGGAACTCCATGACTAACTGTAGTATTTATTGAAGATTCATCGTTAACATGTACAAACTGCAAACGATCTGATAAATATGACTTAAACCAGCTTAGTGCAGTTCCTTTAATGCCAATTTGATGCTCAAGTCTCTGTAAAAGAATATTATGGTCAATGGTGTCAAATGCAGCACTAAGATCTAATAATACAAGTACAGAGACAAGTCCATTGTCTGAAGCAATCAGAAGGTCATTATTAACTTTAACCAGGGCTGTCTCTGTGTTGTGATGAACTCAGAAAGCTTGTAAGCCAAATGTTTAGCTGTACGGTACTTTATTTGGAGGTAAAACTGAAAGTGAGTGCGAAGATGATGGCTAAAACTGCAAAATTAAGACTCAAGTTGTAATAAACCAAAAGTATCCTTTAATCTCTCCTTGACCTGCCCTACCGTTAAATGGATACGTTATATCACCTTGCTTTGAAGAGCTGCTAACCATAAGAGACTTTCTCTAGAGTGGGTTCCAATGTTCCATGTGTTATAGTGTCCCATGATGCTGTTTCGAAGGCTTTCCCATCCTGATAAGTTTAAAAGTTTGGTAGACACACTGAATTCTTGATCTCCTATCTTAAGATATTGACAAAAAAAAACATCATCACAAAACCCTAATGGTGTCTTCCGTCTAGAACATCATGTTGGCCTTCAAAACACCATAGCCTATCTGTAAAAACCAACCCTATCACCAGATGGAATGTTCATGTTGGATGATTCAGCAAAAAGCAGGATTATGTTCAGTACCAACATTTTGTCATGATCTACTTCTACTCTGCATGGCAATTACAGGATGGCTGTGGTTAGGGAATGATATTGTTTATGGCAAAAAAGTGGTGATGCATATATTGGCCTAACATCCTGAATAAATAAAAAACAATCGACCAAATTTTTATTATGTTACCTGCCCAGCATCCCTACAAATAAGTAATAGTTAATTTATGGTTAAAGGAAAAGGGTAAGCCTAGAGAATCTCCTTCAGGTAGTTTGGAATAGGGAGCCATGGCACAACTCAAGAGTGCACACACCGTGTGGACCTCCATTCAGCCAGGAGAACCCACAAACTACAAAGTGGCATGGAAGTACAGAAGGAGAGACAGTGGGCCTAAGGCAAACCTGGTTGGGGCTGGGCAAACCGGTGGTCATGGGATTGAAAGCTAGGGCAAAAATAAGAGTCAAAGATCCAAAGACAGCAAGATGTTTCAAGAGGAAGCGGATTACCAATAGAAGAAACCTGTGGTCAAGGGAATGGAATAAGAGTTGTTCCTGAGTATCATTAGCCATTGAGGGGAAGATGATAAGGATATGGGTAATATGTTGCTTAGGTTTGTGGATTAGGGTCAAAAACTTTGATCTTCCATATAAAAGTCAGATGTGCTACACGTTCATCTACCACCCCGACTTTCAGACCCTAAAGCCCTATTCGCAGGGTACTAGTATTACCAGAGGACATCATGGGATTTAGAAATGACCCACTCATGTCTGTTACGTGCGGCGATAAGCAAAATCTGTATTTCACTTGAAAATGAAGCCACTATTGCTGTGCCACAGCCATTAACATGCACATCTCTCTCAATTTAAAAACAGCTCATTCTAAGGGAACAAAAACACAATGGTTCTTATATTCAGGTGATTATTTACTAATGAAAACATACCTATGAATATTATATTCCATTTCTAACGATAAATCCTCCTGAATGTTACACACTGGAGCTACAAAGGCCAGAATGCTTCCTGCATTGGCATTAAACATTGCACTGCAGAATCATCCAGTATGAACATAATTCCTGGAGATCCTGGGCTGGTGAAACCCTTATGTACACAGAATCAAGCAGTGGGAGTGTTTAATTTATAACAGCTATGTCAGGTCATGCTTGTATATAAAACCGAATTTAGGATCAAAATCCTTCAAGACCATTCACTTGTGTGAAGGTACTGGGTTGTGATTGTAGTCATGTGTCACTGAAGGGGGAAAGAGCTGCTGCGGTTGGTGGCTTCAGTTGTGAAAGCATGAATTCAAAACCACATATTCATCAGCACCACTCTATGATTCTACACTATGACAGTACAGAAGGTTTTGTAAAATAAATTTGATATTACAGTGAAGTGAAGAAGTGAGTGAGAAGCACCAGCACAACACTGAGTTTGACTTATGGGTCTATTCATGTTACCTTTGTGTTGGTTATCATACTGATGTGCTGCATTGTAAAATGTCTTGTATATACTGTGTTTTAAGTGCAATATCGTATATTGAGTGTATGTAGATTGTGTGAGACTTTTATTTTCTTACTTATTCATGGTTACGGTGTCTTTTTAACTCCTGTTTAAGACCTTAGAATATAAAGCACGTGTAAATGTTGATTAGGCGGTATGTTTGCTACCGCTCACCTGTTTTGGTTTTTTTTGCATGTGTTTAAGCGCAATCTCCAATGTTTTATAGCTCCATTGTGAAGTGCCATTCTTCAGTGATTCTCCCTGGCTACTGATGACTATCCAGTATATCTGATTACAGTGCTTGTAGACTTGCGGCTTGACTGAGGGAACATGAGATACAACAAATCATTAACGTGCTTTAAGATAACAACTCAAAGAAATAAAGACAGTTTGAACACTTCATAAATGTGGACCTAGTTTTTATTGTGCATTTATTTTGTAAAACAAAACCTTGATCTAGCCCTAAAAGGTAAATGATAGAGGTTTTCTAAGATCTAACTTTGAAATCTGGATACAAGCATGATCATTGCCCAGTATGCAAATCCCACAAGTATGATGGTGGAAACTTGAAATCTATAACACACATTGAGTGATGTTAAAAGCTTGGGGCCTGTGGTTAAAGCTGCAGTAGATCATTTTTCTAAAAATAACCTTTGCTGAAACTTTCACTATATCCTGACAGTAGTACATGAGACAATGATTAGTTGTTTTTGTTCAGGCCCGGTGGATTCTTGCAAACGTCATCAGGAGCACAAGGAGGAGACAGAGCAACCTGATTGTTTCACAGATTATCTGTCTCATGTGACACTGTCAGGATATAGTGAAAGATTCAACAAATATAAAAAGTTACTTTTAGAAAAATGACCTACTGCAGCTTTAAACTTTAGTAATAAAATATATTTGCATAGCATAAGAAAATTAACACAAGGTCCATTTGCTAGCTTATTTCTAAACTTCACATCTCATACTCTTTTTTTTTTTTTTTTGGCAGATGGAGCTTGTCAAAGCTCTGCTAATAAGTGGGTTCTTGAGTTTAAAGTTACATTATGTATATGAAATGCACTTGCCACTGGAAGTCGCACTAGAGCACCAGGCCAGCATCTCCGACCAAAACAATGTGACAGTCTTTCCAACAATCTCCAGCTCTGGTTTGGTTATAAATCCCTAATTCACTGAGTTGTGAAAATATTTATGAAAACGGCTGCAATGATTGCAATGTAAGCTAATTGTGCCCGTCAAAGTCCGTCCAGGTCGCTCAGATTGTTATTCTATGTGTCTGACAACATTATGGAAAGGATCCCTACAGAGATAGACCTTTTTTTTAAAACCAGAAACGATATTACTATCACCAGACTCCATAGACAAAAACGATCATTTTATCTCACACGTCATTGTAACTTCATTCAAATACAAATATATAAATATCAGTCTTTATTGTCGTTTCATAGTATATACAGCATTGACAGCATTTTACATACATGAAACGAAATGTGTCCTCTGCATTTGACCCTTCTTATATGCATTACTATATACATAAGAAGCAGTGAGCAGCCGTAGGCTTCTGGGAAGCAGTTACGGGTTAGGTGCCTTGCTCAAGGGAACCTCGGCAGTGCACAGGAGGTGGAACTGGCACCTCTCCAACTGCCAGTCCACACTGCATACTATGGTTCATGCTGGACTTGAACCAGTGACCCTCTGTTTCCTAAGGCGAGTCCCTACAGACTAAGCTACTGTCACCAAAGTGGACAGAAACAAAATAAAACTCACCAAAACCGTCTTTGTTAGCCTTTCCACTGTTCCAACAAAAACAAGTAAATCCTTAACAGCAGTTTCAGTCGCTCTACTCAGCTGCACACGGAGCAGACCATAAATGGGAGACTATCCAGCTTTGGCACAGACATGAAGATGCCTGAACAATAGAAGGATCTTTAACTGGGACATCACTGGATCACTGATGTAAAATCTCTATTTAAATGGATTTATTTATTTATTTAGGCAAAAGCGGTTCAATTTTTCCTTATGAATAAGGGAAGATGGTTCTGTTGATATTTGATGTAAACCTAAATGAACAACATATTCTACAGTGTAGAGTCTATGTGAGGAAGAAGACTTTCACTAAAAGTCAAATATCTATGTGTACATCAGTCAGGGACATCACCATTAGCAATAGAAACAGGCGGTTAAATGATAATTAAATGATAACTGTGCCAGGAGATTATACACAAGAAGATGGTCCCAGAACAGCAGCACCCTTCTGTTTGGAGGAGGGCTTTCACCGGATCCATTATGTTGAGTATGGAACTGATCAATACTTTTACAAGGGTATCGCACATCAGCATCACAAAGATCTTAGACTTGCTTTTGTAGTTTTCAATTACTACTCATGTGTCAGACTGATACATTCTTCCTCAACAATTTATCTTACAAATTTGTCATTTCTTTGTGACTCAATCATTTTTAATTTGTTTTAAGTAGCATAAAGAGAACTATATCTAAATGTAATTCTTTGAAAATAATGTTTCAATAATGTTCTTCCATCTGGTAACCCAGCACCCACACAGCGTCACATTACTGAGCGATATATATTGCTTTCACAGCCACATGTTTTTCAGTGAATGCATGCTTTGTTAGTAGAATCAGAATCAGGTTTATTGCCAGGTAGGCAATCAGTGTATCTGACAAATACAAGCTAAAAAAAATCCCAGGACACATTTCATCTTTACCATGTCCCGTGAATGCAGCACCAATGTTAGCAAACGGGCGTGGTTTACGTGCCTTATCAACTTCCGGGAAAACAACGTGAGGTGAGTGCGTCCACATGTCTTTAAACTCTGCGTTTATTTCCACAGATATCTGACATTAAGCTCGATACAGCAGCGCAGTGGGTCGCAGTGGGTCGCAGTGGGTTACAGTGGGTCGCAGTGGGTCACAGTGGGTCGCAGTGGGTCACAGTGGGGCCGTGTGGAGACGTTACAGACCAGGTTATGTTTTATATGTCTTCCTGTGAGAAGTGTGGATTATGCTAGCCACAGTGTTAGCAGATGTCCCCGGCGTTGAACCCACAGACAGATCAGTGACCTGTTTGTTTGTTTGTTTGTGTTTATTGTTCTAAACCACTCACTGCTCAAACTGTATTGTCTAAATACACCGCGCTGCTAGCTGTGGCGGGTAAGCAAGCAGTGCACTGTGAGTTAACTTCATGTAACGTTAGTGTACCGGAGGCTGCCGCTGTACTGTCACTGTATCACTGCTCCGTTGTAACGTTAACGTTAGTGTACCGGAGGCTGCCGCTGTACTGTCACTGTATCACTGCTCCGTTGTAACGTTAGTGTACCGGAGGCTGCCGCTGTACTGTCACTGTATCACTGCTCCGTTGTAACGTTAACGTTAGTGTACCGGAGGCTGCCGCTGTACTGTCACTGTATCACTGCTCCGTTGTAACGTTAGTGTACCGGAGGCTGTCACTGTACTGTCACTGTATCACTGCTCCGTTGTAGTTTGGAGCGTTGCGGTGTTCAGGTGTCCCCGGTAGAACGACAACAACCGGGTGGCTGACCCGCTGGTTCTCTAAACGTAACGGTAGTTACTTCTCGTTTGTTAATGCTCCATTAGCTAACATGTCATATATCTCTTTCCTTCAGACACACACGGTTCTCTGGCGTATCATGTAGCAAATTACTTACCGAACTACTTTATCCATCTCAAAACGACATTAGACCCCTTTTCCCAGCCGCCATTTTGACCTGAAATAGTAGATTAAGCACAGGTGTTAGCAATGGAGCAGAGGAAGGTTCCATTGAGCTGTAAGGTTGTGGATATTGTGCCTGTTGGCTCTCTGGAAAGGCTCTGCTACACTAAAAGGAACATAGAACACACAAACAGAGACTTTAAGCCAGCATTCCAGTTTTATTATGAGTGACAAATGAATAGCTGCCAGCTCCATGTTTAATGCTGTCACTTGTTTCAGGTGCTCGCCATGGGACTAACCAGCCTGGACAAGATCATTGCCCTGCAGAGGAACCCTGCCAACACCAGAAACCTGTGCATCCTGGCACATGTTGATCATGGTGAGTGGACACACTTTTTCATTCTCATCACCCTGATTGGTCCTAGTTCTTTACTGTACAGATTACAGCAAACCAAATTTAAAAAAAAAAACTTAGTCGACTTAATAACTACTTTTAATAAAACATTAATAAAGCCATATCCTGAATGTTATTATGCACTCTTAAATTTGGCAGGTCATACAATACATAGTTAATTACATGTCACCATTCATAAGGTGGACTGTCAGTTCCCAGATCAACCGCTGAGTGTAACTGGAACAGCTTTAAAGTCTATGGATGCATATGTAGCTATTACTTGACATACTGTATATGTGACAAAACAACCTCAGTGTATTTGTTATTATTTAGGTCAATTTGAAATTGGATTTGCTATAAATAGTACTGCAAAAAATAGTAAAAGAAATAGAATTCACAATTTCTCATAAATTAAATTAATTCAAAATAAAATGAATCAGAGAGAAGCTACACATTTGAAGATGAATCAAATATTATTTCTTGTTAGGAAATGTAATGGTTTTGGTGTTGGCCAAAATGTTTAGTGTATGCTGTGAGGTAGTGAAGCCATTTGCAACCACTTGTGTCTTTGCAGGAAAAACTACTCTGGCTGACTGCCTGGTGGCGAGTAACGGCATCATATCAAGTCGACTAGCTGGGAAGGTGAGGGACTTTTGTGCTCTATGACCTGTATGTGTGCAGGAATCCAGTTTTAGTTGTTTTGTGCTTATTTGTGCTGTGTCCATTTACCAGCTGAGGTATCTGGACAGCAGGGAGGATGAACAGATCAGAGGAATCACCATGAAGTCCAGTGCCATCTCTCTGCATTACAGCAATGGTAAGGCCACTGTGGTCAGCCCTGAAGAAAAATACACACATTCTTACTTTTAGATGATAGATGTTATTAGGCATGGGGCAATATGGAAATGTCATGTAACAAAATAACTGATTCACAATATTATCACAATAATCATCAAAATATGCTGGAAAACTGTTAAAATGGCACTAAAACCCTATTTCTAGGTGGTACTGTCCCATAGATGGAAGTGATGAGTTGATGAGGTGGTGAGAGGGCAGTGGATGAGGGTAGAGATGAAGATTGTATTTGGTGGGGTGTGAGTTTGAATATGTGTGTGGATAAAAGTTGGAGGTGGCATGGAAACTGTGAGGAGAGTGAAGGGAAATGAATAGGGGTGTAAGCAAATATTGAAAAATATTGAGAAAATGTCTCCATCGCCAGTCTTCTGCTCATCTCTGCGAGGTATGGGTATCATCAGCACATGTCCAGCCATGCTCCTGTATTTACGCGTTGAAGTGTAGTTATGTATGTGTGGCTTTTTTTCATCTGTGTCTCACCCTGTGTTGCTGTTGACGTTTCTTTATTGCTCCTGCAGCAGAACCAATTGCCCCTCTGAGACAAATAAAAGTTTTGAACTTGTGAATTTCTGTTTAGTCAAATTACTGGAATGTGTGTTTGTTTAACCTTGCCCAATCAACTTATTGTGTTTAAAAAAAAAAAAAAAAAAAAAGCCACTGGAATGACTTTACCTGACATTTTGAGCCTTCAGCCACGGTGACAGGTTTAGGGTTTTGGAATGACAGGAAAGATGTGGGCTCCCTCTTGTGGCAGTTCAAAATAAATGAGAAAATCCATATGGACTGTATGTGAGGATATTCACCGTTATCCTGATAAGGGAAATTCACCACAATCTTAATTTGTCTAGCTATGCACAGGAACAGTGTCGGGCTAGTTACTCAAAAAAATATATGTAGTACTCGTTACTCTTTTCAAAAGTCATAATTACTTTACTTATTACTCCCTGCCAACAGTAATTAGTTACACTACTAGTTACATTACGTTTCCACCTCTCCCCACTGTAAGTAATTGTGTCCCTTTTCAGCCAAAATTCCAACTTCTGACAATCCAGTTTTGTTTATTAAAATCAAAGTAATGGTATATTTCCAGCCCTGAATATAAGTGTTTTATCTTCCAAACTAGTTTCCACCATGGTTATAAAAAAAAGAATCTAAGGGTGTGATTGGATTGTTGGATTTCACATCAGTAGAAGGCAACAATGTAAAAGTAATGAAATAATAAAAAAAAAAAATTATTTATATTAATAATATTATTACTGTCATTTATGAGTAATTAGTGCACTACTTGTTACTGTGGAAAGTAGTATTATTACTAATGCCTTACTGCTCAGCACTGCACTGGAATAATAGAAATATATCATAATAAACAGACAACAAAATGTGCACTTGATTGTTTGATGAATGATGAATTTAGCATGTGCTACACAAACATATACTATCACTCAGTGTGATCTTTGGTTGATGTCCTTTATTATGCTCTGCCTAATGTGAAAGGCGACAATTTCAACCATATAGTGGTCTACAAACCTTTGACTCAGTGGTCGAGACAGACGACCACCCACCTAGAGCCGGAGGATCTGTCCTAGGTTTCTGCCTTTTAACAGGCAGTTTTTCCTTGCCCTTGTCGCCAAGTGCTTGCTCATGGTGGTACTGTTGGGTCTCTGTAATTAATGTTATAAGGAGATAACTTCTGTTATGAATTGGCGCTATACAAATAAAATTTAATTAAATTACTTTAACACTATTGTCTCTAAAGAATTAGCACAACTCACTACTACTAACTGTAGTAGTGAAAAGGATAATCATGAATGAAAGTAAGTGTTAGTTGGCTGATCTGAGCTCCAGTGTTACCATTACTGTAAATTAAAAGCTGATCAATCCTCTGTAGTCTAAATGAGGGTTTTTTTTTCAGGAGAAGCCTCTAAACTGTGTTTGTGTGCCTGTTGTCTCCTCAGGAGATCAGGAGTACTTACTGAATCTCATCGACTCTCCTGGTCACGTCGACTTCTCCTCTGAAGTTTCCACTGCTGTCAGGCTGTGTGACGGTGCCATTGTAGTTGTCGATGCTGTGGAGGGAGTGTGTCCACAGGTAAATCTCACTGTTAACTTAATGTCTCCTTCTGTGAGCTGTTTGTTTAGAAAGAGTCTTTTTACTGTAGATCTGCATTCTTTCCTGTAAACATAACGAGTTTGTGGACTGGAAGTATTTGGACTTTTCTTTTGGGCTGTACTGCTGCAAAGTCGGGACCAGTTCTATAAACGCGAAAGTCTGCTACTTACTGAAGGACTGAATGAGTGATGAAGAAGTTGAGTGTTTGGTTCCTTTACTGGTCATTGCTCTCCAGATTCTGTGCTAGCGCAGCACTTAAGTCTACGCCCATGTACTATACGTGGGCCCCACATCGGTCTAGCCTTGTGCAGGGCTGTTTCCAGAGGGGATCCCCTGAAATCTGATCCCCTGAAATCTGATTGGCCATCCCACTATCCTTACCTCTTCCTTTGCACACTGTCTTTTAAAGGCTGTAGAGTGAATATACTGGTATCATATGAAACTAGATGACCTGACACATCCATTGGTACCAAATATGTCATGCTAGCATGTTGGAAGGAGGGCTAAATAACACTACAAAGTTGGGCTACATTTTGGTGATGGGGAAAACTAGCATGTCTATTTTCAAAGGGATCCTTTAACTTTTAACTTATACTATACTAATCTTTGAGTATGCCATAGAAAGGGAGAAGGTGGGTTCTTACATCACTTTAATTTTTCAGCTGTATATCATTTATATTGTTATTACAATGTTGTTACATAAATGCTTAAATTCTATGTTCTGCATAAAAAACAACAACAACAATTAATACATTAAAAGTGTGGTAAGTGATTTTATGTCATGGGAAACTGACTCGTCCTCTTATCGACAATTTAGTTACATTTACTTGCTGTGTCGTTGCTCTATATCATGGTATAAGTCCTGGTATTGGATTTCTCCAGATTTGTTACCATTTAACTATAGGAAATATATTTTTGGGGAGTAGTTTGTCCTGTAGTTTTTACATCTGTTTGTGAATAAAAATGGTTTACATGTGTATTTTGTGTAGACCCAGGCTGTGCTGCGTCAGGCGTGGCTGGAGAACATCAAGCCTGTTCTGGTCATCAATAAGATAGACAGACTCATCATGGAGCTGAAGCTCACCTCTCAGGAAGCTTACACCCACCTGCAGAAGATCCTGGAACAGGTGAGGGGGCCAGCTCTCATCTGACACAATCTCAGCAAAAGTGAAATTGTATTGTTTGGGCCCTATTCAAACAGTCTGCAACATGGCCTAAAGTGCATGGTGCGAGTACATTTAGGGTGTTTTGCTACTGAAATGGTGCACAATCTGCAGGCAAAGTGAGGTGCAAGGCACAGAGGGGCTGAGTTTAATTCTGTAATAATAGTAGGTATTTTGGGAACGTAACATGAATTAAACCAGATCCCAAATCCGAGTGTTAACCCTCATTCCCTTTAAAAGACAGGTCGGCCTGCACTGACTCATTGACATTTAATTGGAAGACTCAGCAAATTTGAGAAGCTGCTCATCACTTCTCCAGCCAAGCTGTAACAGACATCTGGCATTAGCCAACAAATCATCTGAACGAAGATTGCAGATATGTGTTACAGCCTGGTGGGAGAAGTGACGAGCAGCTTCTCCAGGTATGTGTCCCATACTCAGCTTCATTTGACTGCATATGAGCAAATGCACTGTGTGTGTAACAAGCAGGGTGTAGTCTATGTAGGCACCTCTTCCTATCTAAATAATGCCGCCTTAGATTTCAGGAAAATACCACAGCTTTCTGCTGCCTCATGATGTGCCTGACCACACCTCATTTTAAGACCAACATGCCCATGGGTGCACAGATGGTAGCAAGAGCATTTGCTTTTTACAGAACGTGGGCCCTGGGTATGAAAATGACAACAGTGTCGATCAGAAACCGGCAATGACAGTGCACCAGGTGTAATCACTGAAGTTAGGGATGCATGATATGGATTTTTTTTCAGCCTGTGATAATGGATAACTACCTGCTTCTTGTGGCCAATAAGATAACTGGTAATATCACATTTTTGTATTTTAAAAAGAAGTTCTGATGTTCATAACCTGTAGTTGTTACAGAGTTGATGGTAAGAAAGGCTGATGATTGAATATTCTGTTGCTCTGTTATAACCTAACTGACATCACTTGTTAACAGTTCTGACTCTTTATTTTTTGAAGTAAAGTAAATCAATAAACTTCACAAACCTACTGTTAGCATAATAATTATTATTACGGGCTAATAATATATTGGCTGTAATTTAGTTATCCAGATAATTTGTGTGCGTGTTCTTCCTTGTAGGTGAACGCAGTGACAGGGAGCCTGTTCACATCCAAAGTGCTGGAGGAGCGAGCAGAGAAAGAGAAGGAGGAGGAGGAGAAAGAGAAGGAGAAGGAGCAGGAGGAGAAAGAGGAGGAGGAGGAGAAAGAGAAGGAGGAGGAGGAGGAGAAAGAAAGCGAGACGTCGAGCGGAGACCAGGTTTATGACTGGAGCACTGGGCTGGAGGAGGCAGACGACTCCCAGCTCTACTTCTCTCCTGACCAGGGAAATGTGGTCTTTGCCAGCGCCATAGATGGATGGGGTTTCAGGTGAGGCTGGTCCCTTCTTAAGCTGCATCAGTGGTGTGCACAGTGTGGAAGGAAAGGTTCTCAGATGCAATGAGATTCTGAAGCAGTGGTGAATAAAAACAAGTAGTACTTAATATATGTATAGTTGTACTTTTTAATGAAGTAAAACAAAACTTCAGGATGTCATTTCAGTGGCAGAGGATTATTAGCTCCAGAGGGCAGTTGAGTCATACTATCAAGCACTACACAACATAAACCATAAAAACAAATGAAAACAAAGATTCAGTGTGCTCGAAAAGATAGAAACATGCAAAGTTTAGTTGCAGAGGACAGTAGTGTTTGTATGTGCTGAGCTTATCTTGGACAGGCAGTTGTTAATGCCAGAAGGATGAGAGAGAACTGGTCACAGTCCGAGCCCTCTGTCGGGTGTTGTTTCACCAAAGCTCTGACGCACGTCTGCTTCGCCCCAATGATCATACTGCTCAATAATATGGATTAGTTCATTTGTCTGTTGGATGTTCAAGTTGTAAATAAAAACAAATCAATATAAAAAAAATTTTAAATCAGTTTTGGAGAACAGTCAGCTTGGAAATATTAATTTTAGCAAAATAGTTTTGTAGAATAGTAACACAGTATTATCATATACATTGTGGCGATGGAGCAGGTCAGTAGGAAGGGGCCTGGTTATGGAGGGCTTTGTGTGTGAGGAGGAGGATTTTGAACTGAATACGTTGTGGGACCGGAAGCCAGTGGAGGTTCTGGCGGACGGGTAATGTGGTCACGGGTGTGGGTGTGGGTGAGCAGACGAGCAGCAGAGTTCTGGATGTACTGGAGTTTATTTAAGGTTTTGGATGGTGTGCCGTACAGGATGCTGTTGCAGTAATCGATTCTGGAGGTGATGAAGGTGTGGATGAGGGTTTCTGCAGCAGAGAAGGAGAGTGATGGGTGGAATTGGGCTATGTTTTTAAGGTGAAAAGAGGCAGTTCTGGTGATTTGGTTTATGTGGTGTTCAAAGGAGAGGTTATTGTCAAAGATGACTCTGAGGTTGCGACTGTGAAGGGAAGGAGACAGGGTGGAGGTGTCGACGGTGAGGCAGAAACTGTGAATGGTTTTAGTGATAGAGCAGCCCTGTCACGGTGGGGCCTGCGTTCAACCCCCAGACCCTCTTCACGGAGTCCCGTCAGGATGAACACAGCTGCAGCTAATCACGTTAGATATGACGTTAGATCCAGTTTGATTCAGCCAAGCCTTTTTCACAGCAGACATTCTGACACAGTTCCAATGCACCAGCAACCCTGCAGACTTATCTCAAGGAAAGACCCACAATGCATAGCATTGTGACATTGAAACAGCAGTGAAAGTATTGTGCAGCTTAAAAAAAGAGATAAGCAAATGCGCTGCTTTAGTCCTGTCTGTATTCCCCAACACAAAGTCAGGAAACAGGCAGCACTGGAGAACAGCGAATCCATCCATCTGAACGGCGACGGACAGTCAGCGGCTGTTCAGCTCTGAGTCACACATTCTCGGATGAGAAGAGAAATAGACTGAGTTGCAACAAGGCAAAGACACTTATTTATGTCGAATTCTTTGTTTCCCTGGCACAAAAGAGCAAGTAAATAACTAACTAAATTTTAAACAGTTGTATCGGGCCAGATTTGACCAGTCTGTGCATCCCTAACACACACACACACACACACACACACACACACACACACACACACACACACACACACACACACACACACACACACACACACACACACACACACACACACACACACACACACACACACAAATACAACAAAACGTTTAAGAATGAAGGATGAATAAAGAAAATTTAAAAAGTTATAAATATAAAAGGTAACAGAAGCAACAGTTCAGAAAAATATTGATAATACATAACCAGTTCCGTTATCTGAGCAACTGCCCCAGGCTCCAAAGGCACTACTCCTAAACTCTACTGAAGCAGATTGTAAATTGAGGGGCATTAATGTGGCTCATTCATTTCTGAGACCCTGTCATGTAGAGGAGCCCTTTGCCATAATAACTTCATTATTTCAGTTGGTATCATGTTTACACTGTGTGCATTCCTAAATAAGTATAGATTTAAAGACATAAACTCAAACTAATTGACACAAAAAACCCTGGATGGGTTAGTATTCTAGAACAGGAATACTTTTTGGGGGTGTCAGTATGGCCCCACAGTTTATTTTAGTCCTGGGGCCTCATGATTGATTAATACGGCCCTGGAACAACCAGTAACTTAATCAGTACCTAAATTAATTTTTTCACTCTACGCTCATTCACTACCATTAGATACATCTTCAGATGTCCACTAGATGGTGCTATAAACTTAGATTTAATACATGTGACACTATATGACCCTTATGATCACAGAACCAGCAGAGACCAGGACAAACTCAGACCTTTATTATTTTTAAAGACCTCATTCCTTTGTTTAGTTAAGGAAGGGGAGGAGGGAAGTAAAACACTTCATCCTAACCTCTCATTACTTGTAACTGAAAGGTTTGTCACTTCACAACGCTTAGTTAATGGCAGGGACATGAAGACCTAGTTCTGAGGGTAGATGTGTCCTTGTGATCACTCCCTGCTATAAATAAACAAATGAAGTCCCAGCGGAGACAGTCCCCCTTCTGAACCCAAGACTCGTGCTTACAATAAAGGAGGAGGAAGCTGAAATCCAGACAACTACACAATCATGTTCTCCCTGACCCTGTTACAAAATCGACACTTTACTTAAAGCTACTAATAAGCCCAATGTATAAAAAGCTAAACACTGTAGCAGTGCAGTCATCGGAAGACTAAACGTTTGATTTTGTGTTTTGTAGCATCCAACAGTTTGCTCAAATCTACAGCCAGAGAATGGGTGTTAGGGCAGAGGTGCTACTCAAAACACTGTGGGGAGACTTCTACCTCAATGCAAAAGCAAAGAAGATCATGAAAGGAGCTCAGGTAATGTAACTATGAGTGTATTTTCAATTGTTCTCCCATGTTCTTTTCTTCTACCCTCTGCATTTGAAACACTTTTAATTGCCTAAGGAAAATTAAATCTGATGTTTACCAAATACTACGGAACTAGAAGAACTTCATTCATTCATTTATCCCCAATGGGAATTTTTTTTTTTCCCTCCATTTTTTTTACACTCATAGGCCCGAAATCCAATCTCATGCACAGGACTTATAGACATGCACATGTGGCGAGATGGGGGGGGGGGGCTGGCAGGCTGGCACAGGAGCAGTAATTGGTTATGTGCCTTGCTCAGGGACACCTTGGCAGTACCCATTGACCTCGAGGCAAACATGCTTGATCTGTTCCAAATTTTAGGACTCATTCCTGCAGCACTCTGTTGGACATAGATAGGGCTATTGATCAGTTGCATTGAAAACTTATATTGAATGCTATATTATTAATTTTTTTCCTTTTTTAATTAATTTAAGAGTTGAGGAATTTATGCATTTATTTGGATCATTAAACATGGGTACAACCATAAACATATAAAAATACAAAAGAACTGGGTGAGAGACAGATTTGTAATGCAAATAAGAGCTGATTGTTATTTTCTATTTACTTATGCTGTAGTTGTTAATGTTGACCTAACCCCCCCCCCACTCAGTGCAGGAGTTCTGCCTGTAATGTTCAGTCGGTATCTCCTCGCTGTCTCTCATTTATCATGAAATGAATGTACAGTATAGTTCTGTGAGATGCTAATGGACTGCACACTAGCATTCTGCCACCCACTCAGTGGAGCTAACATGAGCCTGTACCGGAGAAGGGCTGAACCCGATCTGTGCTGGCTTCAAACAGATCTGACTGAGCTCATCTTGATGTGCCAAATTTGAGACGTGAACCCAACCCCTTATATAGCAGTGATTTCTTCTTCTAAGACAAATACATATGCTTTGTTTTGACAGTGTTAATATATATATATATATCCAAAATAATATGGACACATGTATTGTACATGTTAAAAGTTGGCAGTTGTGTGTGAGAATCCACACTTAGGAATGTTAACGCTGTGTAGTGGCCCCAAGCACAAGCTCCAGCTGTGTCTGTATGGTGTATATTGATGCCCTTTTACTGCTGTACATCGCACAGAGAAACAGACAACAATACTTTTTTGATACCAATTCTATAAAATTAATTTTAACAATAGATTACATTACACATTAAGTACAATTACTTAGGAGGAAGCTGTTCATAGGCCTGGGAAATTAAGAAACTACTGGAATATCTGTACAGTATTTGAATATATAAAAAATGTAAATAACTGTCCAAAGGAACATTAATAAAAAACAGTAATGGCAATGCACCATTGGAACGTCAAGTCTGACTAACCCATAGCAGAAGAAGTATAAGAAGGGAATGACTGTTTGGTCAGGTGTCGTCTGTGGTACTGGGAAATAGTATCGGAGTGAGACATCTTACTTTCTCTGCACGAAAGAGCAGCTCACCCAGGTCAACTTCCTGTGCCTGGAAGCAACACCATGTTTGCAGAAACAAACCTCTGCCTCGGCTGCAGGTTATTTACCTCTCTCCTAAAGCTATTGAAATTTAAAAGTTACTGAATTATAAGGCCTGTTTCGATTGGTAGTGTTGAAGCAATTCCGTCTGTGCCATAAAAGTATTGATATGTGGTATCCAGCCCTATAGTGGCTCAAAAAGTAAATATTCCTCCCTTTTCCCTGTATGCATTTATTGTGAAACTAATCTTTTTTAGTTGCACTGAAAATTAGTGCTTTGACAATATACATTATACTGATTTTACCTTGTGAGACATTATAGTACAGGTGATAACAATTTACATAATACAGGTTTGCCAGTATGTCCAGTCCATTGTGGTGTCAGCTCCAAAAAAAGAACACTCTAGCAATGTAAATGATTCATGTTTAACTCCTTTATTCAAAAGTTTTTCTTTTGGTAAACTATTTCTTAGCTTACAAACAGAAATGTCTCCCAGAGCTTTCGTTCCTTGACTTACCAGGGTCTGTCAGCCTGCATAAGGAATGCAAGCCCATGGAAAATTACATTTCTTGGGGACTCAGTTGGGAGCTTTACTGTGAGTTGGTGATCTAAATGTGTGTTCCATCCTTTTTCCAACCCTGCCAATTTCCCCTGAATGTTTGAAGGTTTGTCATGCTAAAACGGCATGTTTATTATGACAAAGCAACATCCAAATGAGCAAAACAAAACAAAAAAACATATATAATTATATCACATTGTCATTTTTTAGATGTGCAGTAATACACATATGTAGTAAGACACACCAGCAGGCAGCCTCGTTAGTGTGGCTGCTGTGGAACCATGTTAACGCTCCCTCTCATGCATCCGGCTGTCAACATACGCCTGAATGTCCTATAAAATCGAATAGAATTATGTATGCCATTTCTTTGTTCAGGCCATTCAGAAACCCATATCAGTTGACCACTAGTGTGGATTCAACCATATTAGGCAGCTTCTCTTATTAACAAAAAGATTGCTCCATATCACTGGTTCTTAAACTATTCTATGGGTACCACTGGTGGTATGTTAGCTGGCTTTAGTGACATGCAGAGTACATTTTTTTTTTAAAAACATAAGACTACCAAAATGTAATTATAAATAATAATGATAATAATAATAATATTTTTCCATTCCTGTTATATTTAGTTTCAATATCAGCCTGCTACATAGTCACGTTCAAGCACACACAAACGTCCATGATTAGTTAGGAGCTAAAATCTGATGGTAAGATAGTCAGCGCAGGTCAACTGAATGGTTCAGAAACACTGCAATCGTGGCTCCAAATGGGAACTAAAGTGTAGACCACCACATTAGCTCTGGTTCTTGAACCAGTTCCATTCAGGATTCAACAACAGTCAACAATAAATAATTGTCCTATTGGGAGTAAAGCTGTCTCCTGTGTGAACTGTATGGAGCTGAAAAGGGCCGGCCTATGCTGTTATATTATATCTGCCATAATGGTGGTACTAGGAGAGCCAGATATTTTCTCAGGTAGTGTAAAAAATTTAAGAAAAACTGCTCTATATCAACCCAACTAGGAAAGTAAGTTGATATAACCGGTGCACACAGTCGTGGTTTGTTATGGATGACAACATCAGCAAAATGTCATTACACAACACCTAAAGAGATTACAGGAGGACCCTGTAATCTCTTCAGGTGTGACGTGCTCAGTCAAACTCTTGTTTGTTTCCTTATCTCTGACATTTATTCCAATGTGTCTCTTTGTTTCCTTCTCTGCTGCAGGCCAAAGGAAAGAAGCAACTGTTTGTGCAGCTCGTGCTGGATAACATTTGGAGTCTATATGATGCAGTTGTCACTAGGAGGTATGTCAAAGATACTACCCTGAAACACTGCATTGCTCTCTTAATGGAATGAATGCTCTACTGTGATGGGATGTTTAAACCTAAAGAGGAGGTGGAGTCTGTAAAAATGTCTCTTGTGTTTCTGTGACCAGAGACAAGGAGAAGGTGGAGAAGGTGGTGACATCACTCGGCGTTAAGGTGATGGCCAGAGACTCTCGTCACTCCGACCCCAAAGTCCTCCTTTCTGCCATCTGCAGCCAGTGGTTACCTGTGTCCCAGGCTGTGCTCTGTATCCTTTGTCCTGTGCCTTTATCTGTTAACAGAAAAGTCTGTGGAACAGAACCTGGTAAGCTTATATTTCCTGTTTGTTGGGCTGCCTCAGTGGAGCATAATTTTGGGGATGTTTGTTTTGTTGTCTGGTTTTCTTTAACACAGACTGTAGCGATGGTGTGTGAGAAGCTTCCCAGTCCACTGGACATGGCTGCAGAGAAGGTGGAGAAACTGATGAGTGTCGGAGCACGAAGGTTCGACTTGTTGCCCGAACAGACTCAGGAACTTAAAAAAGGTATACACACACGCACACACACACACACACACACACACACACACACACACACACACACACACACACACACACACACACACACACATACACACACACACATACCAACTGGAGCTGTAGCATTGAATTAAAGGGTCAGTTGAATATTTTTGAAGAATATTACCCTGCTTACTGGAGTTACTTTAATAACATTTTATGAAGAGTCAGAGGTTGAGGTGGGCACTGGGGGATAGTTGGCAGGCTTTCTTTCACCCTTTTTCTACACCCTTCCTCCAAAGACATTTCACAGATGAACTACATGAATTCTAATCACGAAATGTTTAAAGGAGCAATGTGTAACATATGGCACGAATTATAGTTTATGAATGTTAACAACAATGCAACATGTGAATTATTGCCCCTTAAAATAAATAATTTGTTCTTGAAAAGTCCTTGAAATTTAGTTTTTTTTTGTCTATTCAAAGAAAAACTGTCAACCGATCAAATATGTAGTGTAAATAAATTATTATATTCGATCTCTGCTTCCCTGCCCCCCCTATACTTGTTTGAAAAACCTCAAAGACAACCAATCCATATGTAAAGAAGAAAAGAAGTAACTGATGCATCTGTGCTTGGACTGAGGGCAACAGATCACTTCATACAAGTTTTTCCCATTTTACAATGTTTTGAAATATTTGCAGTAACATTTAATATTCTTTAAGGACTATATCAGTTGTGAGGGTTGTTGTATAGCTATGGATCAATTGGTTCACGATCATTTAAAAGATGTTTTAAGATAAGATAAGATAGACTTTATCGATCCCACACTGGGGAAATTTGCTTGTTCCAGCAGCTCCAGATACAACACAACATTAAATAAAAATCGAATAGATAAAGATATATTAGAGATTGAAATATAAAAATAAAGTATAATAATCTTAACCTGTGAGTTACGAGAGTAAAAAAGGAAAATCAGAAGGATATGTCCACATTAAATACGTGAGAGAGAGTGAGTGCTGTGTATCATCTAAAATCAATACCATGTTTGGATAACATATCAAATCGCCTTATGTGTGCACTGGAAGCAGCCGACCCAGTCGTGCTGGGACCTGACATGGGCCTTATCTGGCAGTGATCTCAGATGTGTTTGACTCCTCCTCTTTTCCAGCGTTCCTCCAGTGTTCGAGTGGGGAGGATGCTCCGGCCATCGTCTTTGTGTCCAAGATGTTTGCCGTGGACACCAAGGCTCTGCCTCAGAACAGACAGAGGTAACTGTGTGCGTGTGCGTGTGCGTGTGTGCGTGTGCGTGCGCGTGTACGGACAGTGTAGTCAGTAGATGGTGCTACAGTCCTGTTCCCTCTTTGTGGCTGTGTGCTTTGAGGAGAAGAGTTTGCTCACAGTTATCTTGAAATTACTCAGGAACAAGGTTATAAATTCCACCTACAGCACCACTACTGAGTCTTTGCACTTAGTGTGAAATGTAGTAGTACACACAGAACGTTATTTAAAGAGTTGTTTCGTGCAAAATTACAGAATGAACATACATTCTCACTCTACCACAGTGTTCGCTCTCCATGTAGATAGTTTTGGTTTTATGTGTTCAGGTTGTGAGGTATCTGTCTCCGAGATTCCTTCACCCCAATACAGTGGAGGTGAATTTAATTTAAACAAACAAAGCAAAAACGTTGTAAGATAAACAGTATCATGTCTCTTCTGAAATTGTGTCCTTATTACTGTGGACAATATAGTGTTATTGAAAACTGTTGATAGTGAGGTCTGTGGATTAGGACAGCAGCGTGTGATGCACATCACAACACCCATTGTTTTCATACACAGGCAGCATATTGATACTTGTCAACTCGTTGGGATGCATCACTGTCTGTCAGTTACCCAGGAAAGCATCACTTTTATCGCACGAGTGTCAATCTCCACTCTGAAATATCAAGACATATACTGGTTAATCATCCAAAACAAAGACACTATAATGAACTGTGGTCTTTTTATGTAAATGGTATAGAATAATCAGCATTATACAAAGAAAGCTGTAGATTTACCCTTATACTGATATATCTGTATCAATGTATGGTGACAGGAAATTCCAGTGAAGAAATGCCAAAGATATTTCTCAAATGGTGGGATTTTAATGCAAAAACTTAAATAAAACCTTACAGAAGAGAAAGAAACCAACAGACACAACCAAGTTCACATTGATGTTAGTTTAGTGTGAAACGTAGCAACAATACAACTGAGAAACACAGCGAAAGTGAAAAAGAAGGTGAAAACAGCCAACAAAATACCGTCAGCATCAGGAATAATATATTTTAATGGAATTTCAACAAACTGATGCTGCAAGCTACCTCTTTATATGGGCTTTTTTTTCTACCAAAAATGTTTTGCGCTCGTCGGGGGGTACGTGGCTAAAAAAAATATTTCAGAGGTGGTACGTTATTGAAAAAACTCTCAGTATACTTTTTTAATTCGTAAAAACAGTTCCAGTTCTTGAACTGTTTATTCCCATCTGGAACCAAAAAAACAGCAGGTTTTCCTTGGGAAGTGGGTGTGTCATATTCTACAGGTTGTGCATTGTGCAGCACCCTCTGTTGATGATGCATCCGATTAGTATGGTTCCACTTAAAAGTGGTGGAAACGCAGAATGGTTTGCTAGCTCGCACCAAGGTTACAAGAATCCTGGACCTAACTGGTTCAAAAACTAATTTGGTGGAAAAGGGGCCATAGGCTACTCGTGGCTACCGGGTGCCCTCAGGTACCATGTTGGAGAGCCCTACTATTACATCGTTAACCTACCAGAGAGCACTAAAAGTTACGTTTTAAAAAAATAACTTAAAATCTCACATTTGGTACGTATCTTCAAACTTATGTGGTAACTGAATTTAAGGGATCCTTATAAATTGTTTCTATATATTGTTATCCGAACTTTCAAATATTGATTTCTCAACCACAAAACTCCAGTATCAGTCTGGCTCTGCTTTCCATTGTGTTTGCTCTAGAATTGTCTACAGCACATACTACAGGGTACAAATGCAATGGCAAACTCCATTAGGGCCGAGGGTAGATTTTATTTCTAACAAGGAAGGAAAACAACGTTTGATGCACGTACTTAAGATAGCAACAGAAACTTGGCAATTACCATTGCCTAGTCTCTCAAAATCTTTTTTGGTTCTGTCTTCTTGAGTGGGACGCAGCTGTTAGACCCCTCTGATCTTTGTGTCCTTCTTGAAGGTGAACTGAGGGGTAGACCACAACCCCAGACTCCTCCACAGTAAGTAATAGATGGAGTCGGCCTGGCCTGCCTCGCTTTAGGATCGGAACACACTCTGAAACACTACCTTCGTCAGTGTCTGGCCTATTAATCTAAACCCGGTGTCATAGATTCTGTCTTCAAGCGTTTATGAAGCTGGGAGACACGGTCTGCTACTTCCTCCGATGAGATGAATAGCAAAGCTGTCCTCACACTTGAAAGGCCCGGGTGACATGTTATAGAAACGAGTGGTGTGTTGCCCTTTTCCATTGGAAACAGATGCTTATAGGAGACTGGGATTGATGTCGAGGAGCCATTAAAGTGTTGGTCCCAGTGTTGGTTTAATGGCCAGGCCTGTGGAGCGTGTGTGAGCTATTAATGGGCCAGAGAGAGCTCATTGTCTTCGTTCCGCCTCATTGTGCACTATAGAGTGATCTGCATTTGCTAAATCGTGCTGAAGCTGTAAACTACTCCACCGCAATGTAGTGAACTCCTTTGACAACCATTATGGCTGTCCTCATTCTCATAGTTCAGGTAGGCATGAATGCAACGATGGCTGTGGAATTCCTGCTGTGAAGTCCCAGTGCAGTCAGACCTTCTATAGCGGTCCTTGTCACAAGTGAAGCTGGTCTGCTACTGAAAGCACTCTGTTTGACCAGGTGGTCGTTGAGAGGATGTGAGGTGTTTTCCAGTTCCCAGAGCAGAGCTGGCCCTTCTGATCAGGTTGTATTGGAAGATGTGGTGAGAAATCTGGGAAATGTTAGCACACAGTTAATGATTTATATATTCCGTACTTCCCTAATTAAGTTAGTTTGGGTTGGAGGCTTGATGATAGCTGATTGTTGAGTCTTACTCCCAGGGTTCCAAAGCATCTGTATTTGACTTAACAATCAACTATCTTTCTTGGCTCTGATTGGTTGTTTTCGTTCAGGCCTGGTGGATTCTTGCAAATGCCATTAGGAGCATTAGGAGGAGACAGGAACCTGATTTTTTTCACAGATTATCTGTCTCATGTTCTACTGTCAGGATATAGTGAAAGTTTCAGCAAATATGTCAATTTTTTTTATAAAAGTTTCAGTTGCAGCTTCAAGGACCAGAACTATCAATCTTATAATTAAATATATAGGATATATTAGGCTTTGGATACAACTATACTTTTTAGTAGGATCAATTCATTGTTGGTTTTGTCTTTTTTGTTTTTCTTGTAATGGGATTTGATGGTATAGAAAACCTTATCCTTTAAGGACTGAAGGACTGGGAGGCCTTATCTAACCTAAAATTGCTGATTTATGAGTTTAGACAGTGCATTGTTGTTCTATTTGCCAAATCTGGGGTCAGACTGTTTTTCTCCCACAGAGGATGCATTTTTTATGAAACAAAACAAACCATGAACATCTGAACTCATTCAGAACTTTGGAAGTCTGAGTAAAAACAGTGCTGACTCTTGATCGTGTCTCCTTGATGCGCTGAAATCCAGAAATACACAATATAGAGCATATATTCCATAGTACCCTGAATTCCCTCTCCCTGCCTTTCCTTCTGTTTTCAGCTTCTTGATCTCCAGCATATCTGATGCATAATATAGAGATTCTACTTCAGCCCACTGGCTGGCATCGTCTCCACTCTCCTTCCCCCTCCTGTCACAGTACTGGATCCTAATTGCAGACTCTGCTGATGCACTCCTAGGGAAGCAGAGCGGCAAGCAGAGTAGAGGAGATATAGACAGGCTGTCAGAGCTGGGTTACAGGATGGGGAAGATAAGTAAGAGAGAGGGAGAAAAGAAAGGCATAGTATAAGGAGGAAGGAAAGGTCATCTCTGACTGTGAGCCAGGAAGGAAAAAGCCTGTCCATAATCTCGGCTAATGAGCCAGCTACCTGCAGCAGGCACACATACGCTCCGCTGACATTTCTGTGGCAGCCCAAGGCTACAGCTGCTCACAGAGGAGTGGTTCATAGACATACTGTATGCCACCATGGCCCGACAGTCGGCAGTCAACAGCTGGTTTAACTGCGTGACACCTTTAACTTAAGAATTGGCTCAAATCAGTGAAAACAGCTGGAACTCATGGTTCAAATTAAGTGACTGGTGATAAAAATCATGCGATGTTCAGCATACAGAGAGGATAATTTTGTTACTATCTACACTGAACAAAATTATAAACACAACAACATTTTTGCCCCCATTCATCATGAGCTGAACTCAAAGATCTTTCTATCTTTTCTATCTTTCTAAGACTTTCTCTATGTACACAAAAGGCCTATTTCTCTCAAATATTGTTGACAAATCTGTCAAAATCTGTGTTAGTGAGCACTTCTCCTTTGCCGAGATAATCCATCCACCTCACAGGTGTGGCATATCAAGATGCTGATCAGACAGCATGGGTATTGCACAGGTGTGCCTTAGGCTCGCCACAATAAAAGGCCACTCGAAAATGTGCAGTTTCACTGTATTGGGGGGGTCCGGGGGGGTCCGGAAACCAGTCAGTATCTGGTGTGACCACCATTTGCCTCACGCAGTGCAACACATCTCCTTCGCATAGTGTTGATCAGGTTGTTGATTGTGGCCTGTCACTGTGGAATGTTGGTCCATTCCTCTTCAATGGCTGTGCGAAGTTGCTGGATATTGGCAGGACCTGGAACACGCTGTCTTATACGCCGATCCAGAGCATCCCAAACATGCTCAATGGGTTACATGTCCGGTGAGTATGCTGGCCATGCAAGAACTGGGATGTTTTCAGCTTCCAGGAATTGTGTACAGATCCTTGCAACATGGGGCCGTACATTATCATGCTGCAACATGAGGTGATGGTCGTGGATGAATGGCACAACAATGGGCCTCAGGATCTCATCACGGTATCTCTGTGCATTCAAAATGCCATCAATAAAATGCACCTGTGTTCGTTGTCCATAACACACGCCTGCCCATACCATAACCCCACCGCCACCATGGGCCACTCGATCCACAGCGTTGACATCAGCAAACCGCTCACCCACATGACCCCATACACGCTGCCATCCGCCCTGTGCAGTGAAAACCGGGATTCATCCGTGAAGAGAACACCTCTCCAAAGTGCCAGACGCCATCGAATGTGAGCATTTGCCCACTCAAGTCGGTTACGACGACGAACTGCAGTCAGGTCGAGACCCCGATGAGGATGAGGGTGAAACTGCACATTTTTGTGTGGCCAGCCAAAGGCACACCTGTGCAATACCCATGCTGTCTGATCAGCATCTTGATATGCCACACCTGTGAGGTGGATAGATTATCTCGGCAAAGGAGAAGTGCTCACTAACACAGATTTTGACAGATATGTGAACAATATTTGAGAGAAATAGGCCTTTTGTGTACATAGAGAAAGTCTTAGATCTTTGAGTTCAGCTCATGATGAATGGGGGCAAAAACAAAGTGTTGCGTTTATAATTTTGTTCAGTGTATGAACCTGAGAAAAATCCAGAAATACCTACAAATGGTTAAATCAACTCTAACTCAATTTACAATGTGACCAAAAACTACCTCATGCACAGAGAAAAGTGAAAGTTTCAAAGGAAAGAATACTGCATACATCAATTTGTCCAAACCTGAAAACCTTACACACTACAAGTTCAATTGTTTTGCTTATTTAAAACTGTAGTAAACAGGAACGCTACAGTAAAGATTTTGTGATTTCATGCCATCAGCTAAAGCCTCAATAATTGCACTCTTCACTTTTTGGGCTCTATCTTGCACTCAGCGCAATTGACTTTGTACACTGGCGCTTGTATAATTCCTATTTTGCACTCGATGCACATTGGAATTTTCCCTCCACCGATGCACGTCCTTAAATTAGGGAATGAACTTGCGCTCCGGGGGGTGGTTCGGCGAAAAGAGGAGGCGTGTTCCGGCTCCCCCTCCAGCATGTCAAACCGGGTTTGCTGCAGGAACGGGTGGTCCTCCGGCGTGTAGTGGGTCTGGATCCTCTGCACCTTGGTGTTTGCGCTGCTCCCTCCTCAGCTGGCCCTTGCGCACTGCTCGGCCCGTGCGCACTGCTCCCGAGGCCAGGGTCTTCTTCCTGGAAGCTGCGTTACATTGTTTTGATTTATTGTATGGCTGTGTTTCATTTATTTCATTTATTAACTTCTCGGTCTTTTACGGCCCTGACGAGAACGTCGGTCTCCTCGGCTGTGAACCGCTCCTGGCGTGCGCCTGGCAAATCCGCCGTTATAATAGCAATCCGCCATGGAACAAGCGCGCCTGCTTTTAAAGGGAATGTGAGATGGAGCTCTGATTGGTTTATTGCACGTTACGCCCAAACCACACCTATGACTAATGTAGCTACTTCAGACCAACCCATTTTAGATTTGCGCCGGGCGCAAGAGTCATTTATCCCGCCGGCATAATAGCAACAGCGCCGAGATCCGCCCACAAATCTACTTGCGTTTAGCGTTTGATACTTTGATACTGCGTTTCAGATCGGCAAGATAGGGCCCATTCTGTTTTTTAAATCAATTAAAATAAATCAATTTAATTAATTAATTTAGTGTCCTACTATTACTAGCCCTCTCCAAACCAATCCACAGTTCACAAAGTATTGATCTGTGGGAGGTAGGAAATAAGTGTGGGTTTAAAAAATTAGTAGTGGGTAACATCTTTTAGATGGCTGAAATAGAAGGGTGGCAGCAATGACGTGGATATAGAGAGGCAGTGAATTTGAACTCTATGCAGAATATTATCACCATATCCTTCTAACCTGCTGGACAGTCCAGTCTTCGCAAATTCAGTAAGATCTCCCTCTAAAAGAGCATTTCCATCATGGTGGAGAGCTTTATAAATTTAGCTTTCAAGTTTCTCAACATGCAGCGTAAATGTCAGCAAGAATATCATCTCAGTCACTGCTCAGTTACATTTTCATGTACTCGAGCCAGAATGGCAGACATCTACAATCAAAATCCTTTAGTGTAAAAAGCGATGAAGTGCGTTTTGCAGACAGCTTTAATATCAATATATTGTTTAATTTTCCAGCACACTTTTTCCTCCCGTTTCACGACGTTAAAAGGTCTGTTAGTGGTTGCGATCGTCCGGCTCCAGTGTTTGGAAGCCATTACTTCATAACCGCAGTGGGTGAGGCCAGAAGCCAAGTCCTGGCATTCCTGTTATTACCAATGAGCGACTGATTTGACCTCTTGAGGAAAAAAGCAGCAACTTAGCTGTGGTCTGATGGGAAGCTTGAAGCCTAGTGCGTACCTCACAGCTGTGTGTTTATTTAGATGTTCGAGCAGTTCCAGGCTCAAATAAATAAATTGATAACCTTCACTTAAACATCTGTCTGCTTTTGGTTTGTTTGCCTTTCTGGTTTCGGAGGAAATAATGTGAGAGAAGTGAGCTGACTCGTGCAGTTTGCAGCTGTAAGTTAGTTAGAAGTTATTTGTTCTTAAGGCCAGGCCATCAGCCAGTGGGGTTTGCTCTTTTGTGGTTTCCTGTTGGAATCCTGAATTCAGGCTGTGGCCCCATTTATATCCAATTTATGCAAAAGAGAGGTGCAATCAGTCTCAGTGAGTCGCCAGGGCTGCTGCTGCTGTCAGGGGCAAATTATGGGCTGTTTTAAGTGGTTTGTCATCATGGAGCTGAACTCTGTGTTGGATGCCGTCACTCAGGCCTATTGTGAGCAGCTGTGTTGCTACAGTCATTGTGGTCTTTTTGAAGAGGGTACACACACGCACACAGACTGCTAACAGTCCTACCACAATGCCCGCGCACACACAGACAGCACTGCATTCACAAAAACACACAGGTCATGTAGCAAAACTAATGTGAGGATAATTGTGTTCTGTTTTTACAGTTCGCCCCTGAGGCACCTATCTGGCTGAACTGAAAGTTTTCCACTAACTGAGGCTCACAGTCCATGTATTAGACATGGTTTCTAGATATTACAGTACGTTAGGACTGTAATAGTGTGCGGACAGTTGTCAAAAAAATCATGTGTTTTGAGTAGCATTTATCACAAAGTGAGCTGAACGTAGACAGGCGGTCTGACTCATCTGGCTCAAAGGTTATATATACAAAATATGAAAGGTTATACAAAATAAAACTCACCAAAATTGTCTTTGTTAGTCAAAATAAATCCTTAATTCAGAGTTAGATTTGAAAACATTCATGAAAATGGCTGCAATGGCCACAGTGTAAGCTAATGTATAATAATAATCTTTGGGGCCACTGCACCCATCAAAGTCCATCCAATAAAGGTTGTTGTTTTTGCCACTGACAGACCACATTCTTATTCTAAGTGTCTGATAACATCATGGACAGGATCCCTACAGAGACAGACCTTTAGTTTATCCAGAAACAGCCAGAATATCACAATCGCTCAACACCAGACTCCATCGACAAAATAGTTCATTTAATCTTCCATATCATTGTAACATCGTAACTTTGTTCAAAGTAGACATATACAAAATAAAACTCACCAAAACAGTCTTTGTTAGTCTTTCCACCATTCCAACAATCAACATCGCTGGGCTGCGATAGCAACACAGGCACAGGGAGTGTGACACAATGACCCCACTATGTCTTTACATAGAGAATAGTTGTTTACTGCTATATTAATGTTCTAAATCACATATATTAGGGGTGCACCGATTGGGAAATTGTGGGCTAATACCAATGTTTATTTTGGCGTTCGATTGGTGGTCTATTTGCCCTTTTGTGCCAGGGAAACAAATAAATATACAATATACAACTTTTAGCCAACCCCAAATTGATGTAACATAGCAGTTGGCCAGTGATAACGGTGAATGCCATCTTATTTGCCACTATCAGTAAGAAGGCGAATATTGGCCAATACCAATGATATTAGTGTATATACGTATAACCTTTAAATAAACCAAAACTTTATGACCTACACAGACAGCTGCGTTTTTTCCAGAGGTTTAGTTGGTAGTTTGTTTTCATGTTTTGTTCTGGTCTTCAGAGCAGGTCTGAACTGCAGCATACTTTAAAGTGAGCCAGCTTTGTGATACAGGACAGCCAAGATTTAGCACAACTTTAGCTGGCTAAGCCTGACATAAGAACAGCGTGAAAAAAACTGAGCATCCTGATAGAGTTGCTCAAGTTGGACTTGCTGGATTGTATTTCATCTTCACACTGGTACCTGGGCTGACACACATTAATAGCAATATTTCTAATAATATAATCATTACAACCACAGGCTTTTCCACAATCTGGGTCCATATCTGATCAGCATTGCCTAGTTTGACATTTTGATCTGAGTTTGGTGCGTTGAGCTGTATACCCTGCTTTATGGTCTATTTTAATCTAAATGGGACCATCATTTACTAAATGAACGTCATGTTGTATGGTAGAAGACTGAAACTAGAGACTGAGACCATAAACTCATAAATCAGTCAGAAGTAGGCTCATTTTGCCCTTACATTTAATACAACCAGTTTTTTTTTTGCAGCCCATGGAGCTGCGCCCTGCTGTCCGTTAGAAACAATGCAGGTTTAAAGTACCTCTTCATTGGCCTCACTTGTCAGACCTGGAAACTTTGTCCACTAATTATATACTGTCAATGTTTCCAACTCTTCCTATGGTTGCAGCTGACAGCTTGCTTGTCACAACCCATCTCTGACCTCAAGGAAACAGCTGTTATCTGGAAGTATGATGGCATTCTGACCTGTGTGTGTGCGCGTGTGTGTGCGTGTGTGTGTGTTTAGGCCGTTGACTCAGGATGAGATTGCCCAGCGCAGGGAGCTGGCTAGACAGAGACATGCTGACAGGATGACAGCTGATCAGACAGCAACAGAGAGCCAAAGAGACCTCACTCACTCAGGGAATACGTCACAAGATGTCCAACCTGCAGGACTCAGCACAGGTACGCTCAATTCTACACTTTTCATCTCTTTTTATTTCTTTAAACACACAGCAGTTTGCCAAAAGACTAGTACCATGGATGGAGTTGGGAAATAAGTGACAGTTTGTGGTGTTTTTTTAAATCATTAAATCTGACTGGGAGCTGTGGAGAAAAGGTGGCGATGCAAGCATCATTATAGCATGGTTTTACTGATTACTGCCATTTTAATCAGTTTAACCTGTTAAAACCCACCTGCCTGCCAAAAACAGAGTTAGGGGTAGGCCTAAACAGGGTAAGGATTTGTGGTTAGGATTATACAAGTGTGGTTGGGTTAGGGGTAGTGTTAGGATCATATAGGTATGTTTGGGTTAGAGACTAGGGGTTATGGTTATACAGGTGTGGTTGGGTTAGGAGTTAAGATTAAGGTGGGTCTTAAGAGGTTTTTCATTAATCACTAATAATTATGTGGGTGTAAAGAATAGGCAAGTAGACGCTGCCTGGCTCAAGGGAAGGAAAAAGAGGGAAGAACAACACACAACCTTTAAACTAAAGATTTATTTAGCAAAATATAAGTTAAACAATGACAATATAAAGTTTGTTAATGAGTAACATCAGTAGTGTTTTGTGTGTTTGAGTGAGTGGACAGTGTAATGAGCAAAGAACATTTAACCCAAACAAAAAAATATAGGGAGAGAGACAGCAAACTGACAGAATCCACCAGCTTATATAGCTGAGGAGCAACAGATGCTAATCAGTGATGCACTTCCTGTTTTACTCCTAAAGGGAAAAGACAACCCAAACAGGAGGGCTGTCACAAGGTGGTCATCGTTCTTTGGATGCAGCTAAAACTGTGCAGTGTGTCAGTTTCCACTGTCAGAGTATGTACAAGTGAGATGATTACCTGCGATTAACTCTCACATAAACTTCTGTGTATGTTGTTTCTCTCTGTCAGATAAGATGGAGAGTCTGACATTGAAAGACCCAAAGCCAGAAGAGGAAGAGGAGCAGAAGGAGACCTTCATAGCGTTTGCACGAGTCTACAGTGGGCTGGTCAAGAAAGGACAGAGAGTATTTGTACTGGGACCAAAGTATGACCCTGCCCAGGGCCTGAGCATGGTAAACCACAGTTATCAATCAAGCTTTACAGTACCTGCTTCACGCTCATTTGTTCATCTTTACACTGTGTTCCAAATTATTATGCATATACTGTTTTTGTTCTTTTTCTTACTAAATAATTGATATAATTGGCAGTCAATAGGATTTTTTATTCCTCAACAATTATATCGTAATCTGGATTTTATTAAAAACAATTACGAATGATGACAATGGAATTTTTTGCAAAATAACTCGAAATGCAGTGTTCCAAATTATTATGCAAAACAGAGTTCCAAAACACTTAATAGTTTCTAATGGATTGAAAACCGAAATCTGTTGTATTTTTTGCATTAGAGGGGATAATTTTCTCAAATCAAAGCTATTTAAATCAAAAACATCTTTACAGATCGAGTTACATATTAACATAGGAGCCCTTCTTTGATATCACATTAACAACTCTCTCATCCATTGAACTTGTAAGTCCATGTACAGTTTCTGTCTGTATTTCCTTTGAGGATGCCAGAGTTTCCTCCCAGAGCTGCTGTTTTGCCACCCACCCTCATAGAGCTTCCTTTTAAGGATGCTCCACTGGTTCTCCATAGGGTTGAGGTCAGGAGATGATGCTGGCCACACCGTGAGTCTTTCTCCCTTAATACCCATAGCAGCCTAGGCCTCAATGGTATTTGTTGCGGCATGGGATGGTGCGTTGTCTTACATGAAAATGATTTTGCTCCGGAAGGCATGGTTCTTCTTTTTATAACATGGCAGGAAATGGGCAGTTAGGAACTCCACATATTTTGCAGAGGTCATTTTGACACCGTCAGGCACCTTAAAGGGGTCTACCAACTCACTTCCCATGATTCCAGCCCAAAACATCACTCCACCACTCCTGACGTCACAGCCTTGTTGGGACATGGTTGGCCATCTAGAATTCCATCCATCTGGACCATCCAGTGTAGCACGGCATACATCAGTGAATAAAACTGTTAGACAATTAGTCTTCATGTATTCCTGAACCCACTGCAATCATGTCTCCTTGTGGGCATTGTTTAAGGGCGGCCGAAATACAGCTTTATGCACATCAGCAAGCCTCTGGAGGATCCTGCGTCAAGAGGATCTTGGGACTCCAGAGGCACCAGCAGCTTCAAATACCTGTTTTACTACTCATCAGTGGCTTTTTCACAGCTGCTCTCTTAATACGATGAATTAGCCTTACAGAAACGTTCCTTAACACGCCTTTATCTGAACGAACCCGTCTGCGCTCTGAATCAGACACAAATCTTTTCATAGGACGATGATATCTCTTAATATTTCGTGAAATATCCAGTGGTTTCATACCTATTGAAAGATACTGCACTAGTTCACGCTTTTCATCTGCAGAAAGATATTTTTTTCCCCCATATTGCATGAAACCTGTGACTTGCTTAATATTGTGAAACAACATCCTTAAGTAGTTTCCCATTAATAAGGCTCACCTGGCAAACTAATAAAGACAAACCTGTCTGAGATTGATGTCAGTGATCTAAACAGACAAAAAATGTTTCATATTTGCATAATCATTTGGAACACAGTGTATATTGTAGACATTGTTGTAAATGTGCAACTTTTTGACATTGAAATATTGATTAGTTGGATATACCAGTGTTTAATGGAAAGTGAATTCAGTTTTGCCCCAGCCCCAAAATAACTTAATTTTACAGAGTTAGACAGTTTTGGTCTGTTTCACACCTGCAGTTTGGTTCAGTTGGCCCAGACTAAAGACTAAAAATGATTTGTTGTTTTCTTTTAGTTCAGGGGTGGATCTAGAGAGGTGGCATGGGGTGGCAGCTGAACCCCCTAAAAAATGCCTGGCTACACAGCTACCAGATTTAACACATAATTCAGAAAATAATTTAATGCTCTGTTATGGCCACATTTTAGACTCAGTGACAGGATTGCTTTCAACTAAAAAAGACTAATGTTTGAAGATTTGGAAAGTAAACAGTGTATTAATTTCTAATGCCACCTTTAGATATTTCTATTCAGTGCTTTACTAATGTGGCACAGTAATGTTTGTGAGTTCAAATCTCTTCATTTGGGGGCTTTTTCAAGTAAATATAGATTTTTGTGATTGTGATTAAATCAGCAGATATTTCTGCCACCCCTTAAAGTCTCCATGTCACCCTCTAGACACCCCATGAATATTTCTCTAGATCTACCCTGCTCTGTTTAGTTCTGCTCTGTTTTGGGTTCAAAATGACTTATTACCAACAAACCAAGAGCTGTAAAGATGATGTCCCATAGAGGGACATACTGTAACTGACAGGACATGGACCCACAGAGCTTTTACATCCCAACTGACTGGGAAATAGAATGTTAACCTGATGTGATTGCAAATTCTTCATTTGTGATCCACTTGGCTCCTCATGCTCATTCCTTCTCTCATCTCTGCCAGCTGCCAGAGGGTTGCAGTGCTTCAGACTGTGTGCCTGAGGTGCCTTATCTGTCCTGTTGTTCCATGGAAAGCCTCTACCTGCTAATGGGCAGAGAGCTAGAGGAGCTGGAGCAGGTGCCTGCGGGAAATGTCCTTGGTAAATATGTCTGTTTCTTCTTTCTGCTTATTGCATTACTGTGGCCGTTCCCTGCTTTATTGGACAGAGTTTGTAATCTCACCTGGTTAGAGATTTTGGAATGAGGTGAGTAGTCTCAAAACATTTGATTCTAGCCTTGTAACTTCAGCAAAGTGTGATAAATGAGTCTGTGGTCTTTTATATTATTGGCCCAATCTGGTGTACATCATGTATTATAAAGTTGTCAAGTAGTAGGAATTCTTTTGGAGTTTCAGGGAAGTAAATATTCTTGAGTTTTTCTCATAGATAATGTTAGGTAACTGGCAGTTGGAACACTTCTGAGGCTTGGAAGGGCCAATGGACCATGATTGAATCATGAGTACAACAGATGAACAACTGTGTTTGAAAATATTTGGTTCTTTTTAAAAAAAGAAGAAGAAAAAAAAAGAAAGAAAGATACCAGACTGTGAGTCAAATATTACTCTTCAAAGAGCATTTTTGTAAAACACATCCAATCACCTAGCTTCAAATTCTGTATGTGAAGCTAAATAATACACTTTGTAATAAAACATTCAGCACTTATAATCAATTCACTATTGGATTCTGGGTCCATTATGGTATGGCAAATATGGTGCGTTTTCTTTATCCACTGTCTGTGTGCAAGTACGCACCTGTCTACAGTCAGTTTTGAAATATCCAAATCTTTAGTCTCAGAAATTCCTGCAAAACTCTGATTGTTAGATGTTTCTGCAATTAGTAGTCCTGCTGGAATCACAGGACATAACAGCTGGAGATATGGGAAAAAAATATCTAGTATCTGGCACCAACATGTTAGCAGCAGATCAGTCCTGTAAGTTGTAAGGTGGGGCCTCCATGGATCGGACTTGTTTGACCAGCACATCCGATAGATGCTTGATTGGATTGAGATGGGGGGAATTTGGAGTCAACACCTTGAACTCGTTGTGTTCCTCAAACCATTCCTGAACCATTTTTGCTTTGAGTGTACATCGTCTGCAACAATGCTTTCGTGGTGCCATGTGTTCCCCAGGTAAGCAGCGCACACGATCCACAAGATGTAAAAGAAAATGTGATTCATCAGACCAGGCCACCTTTACCTGTACTGCGTCCAGCAGTAATGTCAGTACTGACATGTGTTCCTGTTCAGCATACCTCACTTTTAAAACTTGTGACTTAAATTTTGACTTAAACCCAGATCCTTTCTAGATTCCCACATTATCACTTTAAAGCCCACTCTCTGTCCGCCAAGTTTCTGTGAGAGCTGACGCCTCCTGTCCTACACCTTCTTCCCTGAATTCAGCTGAACAAATATGTTTCCAGGCTAAATTATCATATCATGTTCTCAGTCTCAGTCTCAGAAATCTATGTGCTTCCTTGATATGACTTTTCTTTTTTCTTAGAAACATGACCTGTTTCACTATTCTACACATTTAGACACACATTACAGCTAATTAAGCACTATTTATCCTCTCCGCAGGCTCCAGCCTCAGTAGCTAGCAACTGTGTAAAGATGAATTTTCTGTGATGTTTATATCTTTATGAGTCATCTTCTGGCAAATGTAGCTCAGACACTGTTTAATACAGTTAGGCATGCTGAGTTCAAATTAAACAGTAGAAACTGTGTCGAACTTATTCTGTTACTGTCTCCTACTTTGATGTGCCAGTAATATTTATATTTTTAATAACCTTTAATTTGAAGGCTGACATAAAACTATCATAACTCTGTCATGAGAACTGACTGGATTTAAAGGTTATATATATATATGAGACTTAAAACAGTAATATAGCAACAAACAACTATTTGCTATGTAAAAATATAGTGGAGCCATCAGGAAATGTAAACAGAAGCAACAAGATAATACGATAATATGGTGTTATCTTCACATTAAATGAAACCGTCTCCCTCCAGTTTGGCTGCGTTTGAGCACCAAGCATCATTGATGGAAACACAGTCTGACTTCTCTCGTCCTGCACTCTGTCGGTTCTGTCGATCTGGCCTTTGAGTGTTTGGTTTTTGATGGAGCCTGAGTCCCATTTTGTCCTTAAATCCAATCTGGGCCAGCATGGCTCCTGTCTGGCTCTCTTCCTCTCCTCTTGGGGCAATGACAGCATCCACTGTGGTGGGCTGCTCTTGCTGATCTGGCTGGGGGGACTGTCTTACGGTCCCCTACTCTTTCTCGATAAACTGAATTAAAGTCATTTTTTAAGCTAAAATGCCATACATTCCTGTGTTTTAACAAACATAATATCTTTGGACTCATGGTGAGATTAAACAAGACATTTAATAGACAAAACGATTAATCAATAAATTGGGAAAATAATCTTCAGATTAACCTGTGACAATAGTCATGAGTTGGAGCTCATACAGTGTGAGTTTTAGTCTCTCCTTTTTGATCCTGTCTCCCTATGTTCATGAAGTGAAGTAATGAAGTACAGTGAAAGTACAGTAAATACTGTGTCTTGACTATAATTGTAGACAATTTAAAATAGTGATGGCCAGATACTACTTTTCCAATGCAATCCAACCTTGAGTATTTACCAATACCAATCTGATACTGTCTCCTTCCCTCTCATAAACAACTGTTCTGTTAATAAATTGGTATGGATGCACTTTGCTTAACCTAGCCATCTAGAAAACATCATGCTCAAACTATGGAACAAATATTCAACTCATGTTTATGCCTCAGTTATTCAGTACTGCTGCTTCTTTTTATTTAAACTTTTTCACACAGAATCTTTATCAGCGTTTTTGATTGGTAGCACTATTCAAACATTCAAAATTAAATTTAAATCAATTGCAAGATAACTTAAGATAACTCGACACAGCTGACATGATGACAGCGCTGCTGACAGGTTGCAAACACGTTGTGTGTCTTCTGTCTTTATGGTATGTTGCTCAAAGTTGAATTAATTTATAAATATAATAATATCCTTTATTTAACCAGAATTTGGCCATTATTGGACTGAGACATATTCTATTATATCTCTAATTTAATGTTGGTATTAGCTTAAAAACCCCCTCAAAAATTAGCTATATGTTCAACTTGAACACTTGACAGGTATACTCTGTAGCATGTGTTTGTGTATGCTTGTATGTGTAATGCAATGTGGTCATTGTTACTTTGTGCAGTATTGATGTAACCTCACATTAGTGTTCATAGAGTGCTTCAAACACTGAGTGAGAGTCTGACTGTGAAATATCCTCCAGTCATGAATTATGAAGGAGATGTGCATTAGGATATTGACATACAATCATCAGTCGGCAAGGGCATGGGGCAGAATGCACAGTAGGAACAAGTTATCAATAAGACGATCCGCCCTTGAGTGAGCATCAGGGATCTTTCTGTTCCTTATTTAGTTTGGACTGTCAGCTCACGGATGGGCAGAGCCTGGAGCCCAGACTCATCTGGCTGGTTGCACAGAGATAGAATCAACCTATGACTTAGATCTAACATGCTGAGACTTCTTGACTCTTTTAAGTACCACTAATTTACTATGTAATGCTATGGGTATGAGAATCCTGTACGTGATTATGGTTGGAGGTGGGAGGTACCAATGTGTCAGTTACCTCTTGAGCATTTGAGCTACAAAGGTTGAAAGACATAACTTCAGTTAATATTTGTTTTGTTGCTTACAAGCACCAGAAATATTTTTTCCAGCTAATGTTACTGTGTAATGATAATGTTGACTGACTGTTAAAACCCCAGTCCTGTAAAGATAGTGTGTTAGAATCATATTGGGATCAGGAATTTGATAAAAACCCACCCAAGCTCCTGCATAGGACATCTGAATTTAAGGGCTGTTTTTTTAAATTCATTTTTTATTTCACAAGTTGCAAAACAAGTTAAGAAGTAGAACCTCTGTCTACAGGGATTAGTGCATGCTGCAACTGTACAGTAATCAAAGCCAGCTGAAAGAACACTGATAGACATAGTGTACTCTTTTTCACACTGTTGAATAAATGAGTTTGCATTAGCAGGCTATATATGCTGTAATTTTATTATTATATTATATTACCTGAATAAATTCATAAAGAAATAGGGTGACAGCTTGGTGACATCTTAAAAATACCTGCGAATGGGTGTCATGTAGCGTGTTGCTCAACGTAGTCCACAAATCCCAACATCTTCAACGCTTGTCCAGATCAATCCATGAGTTTCTGATTGATGCCTTTGGCCCTAGTTGCGCTAAGATTTCTTGGCTTTGTTTAAGGACTGGAGAAGAGACTGCTAGCAGGTGTCTTTCACTGGCGCCTGTTTCTCTTTGTTCTTCACAGATTCATTGTAATGATCAGATGACAGCTGTTAAATCGAATTAAATCTGTAGTGTTGAAGCATTGACCTACGCTGAGCAATCATTGCAAACAGAAACTTTGTTATCCGTTTTGCGCACCCTTGCTGGGTGACGCAGCGTCAAGCATTTAGCCTAGTTAACAGTATAATTCAAGCATCATCCTAATGACATGCCAATATCCTTGTGCCTCCTTACTGTGAGGCAAACTCACTGAAAGAGTCTGACGCACGTGTTGTCAATTCACCTATTGTTCAAACTGCTTTGACACCCCTGACCTCTGACCTTTGGAGCATCAAAGGAGGACCCAGCTATGGAGTTACTTTTGTGTCTTTACTATACTGAGCGCAGAACTTTCTACTCTTTCACTCAAATGATGCTCAAAATTGTTTTATTGCAAGTAAAATACATTTGTCAAGTACACCTATTGTTTTAAGTGGCCTGAAAGCATTAATGATGAACAAAAAAATCACAGTAAGAGTATCTCTGATGAGGAAATTGCAGATACATGTAAAATGTAATACTTATGAGAGGAATACAGACATTATTGACTGAATAGATCAGAATTGAAAATAGACACAGCTTTAATGTATGTAGCATGAACTTCGGTCATATGGCATTTTTGTCATTTGAGGAGCCTGACTTCATTATTGCTGAAACTCTGTCCACCTCTATATATCTGATCCTGTGCAACACTCTGGAGCTGGAGGTCA